ATCAGGATCCAGGTCTTTCCTTACTTCTTTTTGCCGTCCCCACCATTATGGTGGCACCAGAATTAGGACTGTGAGGGGCAGCACCCAAGACTCTCATCGTCTCTCCCAGAAGCCCCCAAGCACTTTCTCTTGAATCTCATTTTCCCAAATCAGGTTTTATGGCTGCCTGTAGCTGCAAGGAAGCCTGGAAAATTGGATGTTTGGCAAAAGCAAATGGGGTTGCTGTGACTGGCTTTCGTTGGGGGTTGGATACTTTGCCTCCTGAACAAATCAGAGCTCTGGGGCAAAGAGGAGGAGGAAAGTCGGAGAGATCAGCAACCAAGCACATCTGCCCTAACTCTTATAGCCCTGTGGAGAGGAAATGCCAAGGTGAAATTATCAAGAATAAAGACCAAGGCTAAATCTCCACTGCCAGTTAGCAGTATGGAACTTTGGGCATGTTGCTTGGTTTCTGTTGTCTCAAGTATAACATGGAGATAAGACAACACCTCTCCCTCAGGGCTACTGTGAAGATTCAAGTGGGTGTACACAAGGGAAGCGCTGAGGACCCCATGCCAGGCACATGCTATATTGATAAACACTGGCTCATGTTTTCTTTAATAAAAGACCATCTCTCCACCACCCAGAACGGCTGGTTTTTAACTAGATGAATGGACTCCTCACTCTGTGGACAGCTGGTGGTGGGATCCAACTGGGGTTTGTAAATTGAAGATCAGAACTGAATTGTTTGGGACCTGATCCAGCCATCCTCCTTTGGTTTAAGGTGGATAGAAGAAGGCAAGAGAAAGGAAGAGGGAAAAAGTGAGACAGAAAGAGAGAGAGAGAGAGAGAGAGAGAGAGAGAGAGAGAGAGGGATGGAGGGAGGAAGAACTTGTACAAATGGTGCCATCTCATAGACATTGATAGAGTCCTGAGGTATGACTCCCATGAGATCCCAGCAGGATCCCAACATATATATCAGTATGCTGTGGGTTTGGTTGTGTAGGGGACAGGTTGATGGCTGTAGAGTATAGTTCAGAGACAGATGGAGAACGACAGTGGGGGGCCCTGGAGGAGGCTGCATAGCTGGAGTCGATACAGGAAACAGGCTAGCATGAAATATGTGAAAACTTTTAGAGTAGACACAGGTCAGAGTTATATGTAATTTTAGTTTCTTATTTTTGTACTTGCTTTTTACATTTTCCAGAGTTTCTACAGTGATCGAAGATTTCATTCTATCATCATCATAAATGTCTTTTTAAAACATTGACAGAAATGCAATCAATAAAGTTCTTTTTTAAAAAAAGTTTTACATGTTAGTTCCATTTTTCAGCTTGCCCAGCATTGCTTCTCTTTCCTTTTTTCTCCCTGTTTCTTCCTCACAGCTAATAATAAAAATAGATACCACATAGTGGACACTTTCCTATGTATGTCCCAGGCACTATACCCAGCATTTGACAATGCATAATTATTCTTAAGGAATAGTACCATTGTCAGTCTTCTTGCAAAAATGAGAAAACTCGGATTTAGATACTTAAATTACTGAAGTATGGTCCCATTCATCTCAAACCTTGGTTCCTAATCACTACTCTCCCTCTCTTTCTTCTCTTTTTCCAAAATCTTCTCTCTTATCTTTCAAAAATTATCAGTAAGGTATCTCTGTCAATAATTTCTCACCTTCAGCATGATTTACATTTTGGATCAGGTCATTCTCTGTTGTGGGGTGTAGGAGCAGTTGACTGTAGGATGTTTAACCTTATCTGTGGGCTGCACCCACGAGAGGATAGTAGCACCCCTGCTTCCGCTCATGAGAGGACAGTAGCACACACCCAGCTGTAATAACCAAATACCAATACAGTAATACCTTCGTTCACGAAAGCTTCTGTTTGTGAACAATCCAGTTCACGAACAGAAGTGTTGGGCAAAATCTGCTTCCACTTGTGAATGCCACATCAGTGATGGCCATCTTCCTGTCTGGAAAGGGAACTGGGCCATCTTCCCTGCTCTGACACGTGGTGTTGGCTTCCCGTAGTTGAGATTTCAGTCACAGACAGAGCTGTGCACACTTGTTATGAAGATTTTTGTGTGCGGGGCTGGGGATTTAGCTCAGTGGCAAAAGCGCCTGCCTGGCAAGCGCAAGGTCGTGAGTTCGGTTCCTGGTACCGGAGAAAAACCAAAAAAAAAAAAAAAAAAAAGATTTTTGTGTGCTTTTCAATACATACAGGACTGTACAGCATTATTGAATTCAGCCTGGCTCCAAAGAAAGTGCAGAGTAAGCCGAGTGTGGTGGCACATGCCTGTAATCCCAGCACTTGACGGGCTGAGTAAGGATGATTGCAGTGAATTTAAGGCCAGCATGGGCTACATAGCAAGTTCAAGGCCAGCCTGAAATATATAGCAAGACTCTGTCTCAAACAAACATACCTACATATGGTTCAGAATGAATTAACCTTATTTACATTGAGCCTTATGGGAAAATTTGATTCAGTTCACAACCAATTCATTTTGTGACCAGAATCATAGAACAAATTAAGTTCATGAATTGAGGTGCCACTGTTTGCCTCCATACATGTCAGATGTCCTCAGGCACCAAATCTATCCTCATTGCGAACCACTGATGAAGTCAGGTCTCTGCCACAGTTGTGGGAAAGGATTCTGGAGGCCCTCAAGTTGAACGACCACTGGTAGAAGCCAGCAAAAAGAGCCTGCGCCCTTCTGGCAAGCTCAGACTCGTTTGAGGCAGCTGCCACCTGCTAGGGACATTCCAGGGCAGAGCATGAAAAGTGTGTGCCTCTGACAATAAGAGATGCAGGCTGAAGCCCGCACTCTTGCCTCTTGTTCCAAAAGCTGGGATGCTGAGATTGGAGTGGATGTGGGTATTTCCAGATCAGTGAAGGGCAGGGCTCAGGTTCTTGGTGAAGATGTTTCAGGATCACCCACTTTGGTCTTCTCCAGAGGGCCCAGAGCTCATCCACAAATTCAATCAGATTGCAAATGCTCAGAAAAAAATTGTGTCTATGCTGAACATGGACAGATTTTTACTTCTTGTCAGTATTTCCTAAATGATATACTTTAGTAGCTATTAATGTAACATTTATGTTCTATTAGGTGTTGTTAAGTAAGCCAAAGATGATTTAAAGTATAGGGGAGGATGTGTACAGGTCACAGACAAACACTAAGCCATTATATATATATATATATATATATATATATATATATATATATTTTATATAAGGGACTTGAACATCCTCAGAGGCATCCACAGGGTATCTGGGAACCAACCCCCTGTGGAGACTGAGGGTGAATGTATGGTTTGTGCATTTATCTTCCATCCTTAAAAGTGGCAGCTTCATGAAGTCCAGGTCACCGTTGCATCCCCTGAGCCAAAGACAGTGGTCAACACAGCAAATGTTCAATAAAGACATGCAAAGTGACATATGCTCTGTAGGGAAGCAACTCAAAAATATGTTTCAACTCTCACAGGCCTTTGTCCTTGGTCAGTCCACTTCTGAGCTTGTCTCCCCAAAAGAAAAATGCTTCAATGAATTAACATGTATCTCTTGTACCCAAAAGACCCCAGTGACCTCAAAACCCCACTGAGGTAATTAAGATAAGGACTTAATGAACACAACCATATAAATATACTTGGTGAATTTCCAGGAAGCCACTGTAAAAAGTGTTTACATAAGATGAGTCAATTTTTATAACACATACAACTATATGCATAATGCAAAACTGTATGTGTAGCCCAGTTACTGAGATTATAGGAGCAAGCCCCAGCCCACCCCCACCAGTCTTGGTGGGAATACGATGTGCAGTTCCTCTGGAGGGCAATTGAAAATTCCTTTTGAAATGCAAGTGTTCATGTCACTTATATCATCTAAAATCTCAGATATTTATGCACCATGAATAGTTAAATAAGTCACATTCACCAATAGATGGAAAACTACGTATCCATTAAAAATTAGTAGATTTGCATGTATTGACTGCATGCTCCAAATTATTAAATTAAAAAATTAAATTGCAAAATATGTATTTGACACAGCAATAATGATGTCATATATAACAGAATAAGGATTTTTCAAATTTGGAAGACTACATATCAAACTGTTAACAATGACTCTTCCTAAAGGAAGGCTTTGTGTTTTGAAAGTTTTTCATGTAAACTGATTTTTTAAAAATCTGAAACAAAACTAAACTGGCAACATGAGCTGGAAACCACACACATGAAGCCTAGAAAGACTCTATGGTGTCAATAACAGCAGTTGATCATTTCTGAGTAGTGGGATAATAGGCAGTTTTTGGATTCTCCTTATAAGGATAAACTTATATACAGTGAGTATGTGTATTAGTCAGAGCTGTCCAGAGGCAAAACCAAGAGGATATAAGGTAGGGCATGTTTTAGGGAATTAGTTCACATGGTCACAGTGGCTGGAGAGTCCCAGGACCGGTCATCTGCAAGCTGGAGAACCAGAGAAGTTGGTAGCATGGCTTGGTTCAAGTCCAGAAGCCTCAGAATTGGGGAGGCAGAAGATGCAGCCCTGGAAAACCTTGGTACACATTCCAGATTCAAAGAGTGCAGAGTCTGCAGTTCTGATGCCCCAGGACAGGAGGAGGAAGGGTGTTTTGCTCCAAGAGGGGAGTAGGGTTGAGAAGAGAGGAAGACAGACAGAGAAACGGAAAGACAAGGACAGAACACATTACCCCTTCTTTCTTCTTTTCATTTCCCATCTGGCCCTCAGCTGACTGGATGGTGCCCACCCACAGGGAAGAGGGTTTCCCCACTCAGTCCACTGCTCACAGGCCATAGTACTCTGGAAATGCCCTCATAGACATTTCCAGAAACAGTGTTTCACCAACTGTCAAAGCATCTTTAATGCAGTCCAGATGACACCCAAATCAACCATCTTGGCATGTGTGGTCTTTACAAGTGCTAATCCATTCCCACAGACCACCCTGTTCGTTTAAATTGTATGTGCTGTGAATGTAATCTACTGTTGCATCACATTCTGCTTCCCCAGGATGGACGACATCCAGCTCTGCAAGGACATCATGGACTTGAAGCAGGAGCTGCAGAACTTGGTTGCCATCCCAGGTAACTGTGTGGAGCTTCACTTTATATTAGCAGCTGCTCAGGGACCCAGCCTACCCCATCTGTATCCCTGGGGTCAGAAGACAAAGTCCATGTCTCCTTGCAGCACGGCCTCATTCTTGCAATACCGCGCCCCCTAACCGCAAGTTTAATTCAGGCCAACTTGTGTTCAAGTCCCAATTATGGCCACCTTTTTGACCTTGGGTAATTCACTTTACCTCTCTGAGACTCAATTTCTCCTCCTTGAAATATGGGGTAGTAATAGTGATAGTACCTGACTCATTGGGTATAAATATCATTATGATAAAATATACCTTGCCAGCCAAGTGCTTAGCTTGACACTTGGCCCAAAGAGTCCAGTGAATATTAGAAATTACTATGATTATTATCTTGTTTGGGAATAGGTAAAGTATAGTGGTTATGAGAGCTAATTTAGGAGTAAAACCTAGATTTGCTATTTATTATTAGTATTTATAACACTGGGACTCAAGCCCAGAGCTGATGCATGTTAAGCAAGGGCTCGTGCATACTAGGCAAAAACTCAACCACTGAGTTACCCCTCCCCAATCCTATATTTGCTAGTTATTTGGCTTTGTTTTTTACTTTTTTATTTATTTCCTTATTTTGGTACTAGAAATTGAACTCAGGATCTTGCACTTGCTAGGCAGGCACTGTGCGGCTGAGCTATCTCCCTGACCCTTTGGCTTTGTCTTAGTCACTTTCTCCTTGCTGAAACACAATACCTGTCACCCACAACTTAAAGGAGGAGAGGTTTCCTTTGGTTCTTAGTTTGTACAGGCTTCAATTCATAGGTGGCTGGACCTGAGGCAGGACAGTAGGGCAGAAGGGCATGGTGAAGAGTTGCTCACCATGTGGATGGGTAGCAGAGGGCATGGGAGGAGCCAGGAAGAGAGATACAACCTTGGAAGTCACATCTGCGGTGACCCACCTCTTCTGGCCAGGCCCTACCTCCTAACAGCAAGTCGTCCACAGGGCCCCTATAGTCCAGTCCCACCTGTGATCCCATGAGGCTTTAGGGGGACATTTAGGCATGTCATGTAATAGGTCTCCTCCTCCAGAAAACCTTTCTTTGACCATCCAGTTTGGGTTAGGTGTCCTCTATGTGGTTTACCCTTATTAAAACACTTACCACACAATTATCTGTTGATGCTTCTACGTCTCTCTAGACTTCAGGGGCCGGACATATAGCTCAGTGACATAAGCACCTGCCTGGCAAGCGCAAGGTCCTGAGTTCAATTCCTGGTACCAAAAATAAATAAATAAAAATAAATAAATAGACTTCAAGCTTCGTGAAGCATACTTGGGGCCATGGTAAGTGCTAAAGAGGATTTATTGACTGAGTAAACACAGCTATATGTTAAGAACTTGGCCTTCGCCAGGAGCAACACAGGCCAGATAAGCAGCCACCACTGTCCTTGGCTGGAATGCCTAAGTTCATCGTGTACCGAGAGGCCGCCCTGCAACAAAGCCCAAGCCAGATGCCTGGCATGCAGTGATGAACTGAGAAAGATTTGCTACTCACAGAGCTTGCAAATCAATAGACAGAGAAAGGGCTTGGCACATAGAGGCCCATAAATGGCAGCTATTACTGACCAAGAGGAGCTACACCATGTGCAGGGTTCCTCAACCTTGACACTATTGACATTTGGGATGTCATTTAGGGTTGATGATTTTGGGGGAGGGTTCTGTAATGTGTCTGTAGGATACTGAGTGGCATCCCTGGCCTCCACCCACTGCCTGCCAGAAACACATCCCCTTGCCCAGTTGTGACAACCAAAACTATCTCTAGATATAGCCAAAAGAGGAGGGAAATCATCTCCACCAAAGAACCACTGCTTTACAGGCCAGTGATGTGGCTTGAATCCAGGCTTACTGGACTTCACTGAGAAACCCAATTTCTCTGAGTCTGTGTTAGCCAGCATTCTGCTGCTGTGGCAAAATACCCGTGATATATAAACAAGTTTAGAGGAAGAGAGGTGTATTTTGGCCAATGGCTTCAGAGGTTTTAGTCCATGGTCTCTTGGATCCATTGCTTCTGGGCCTGTAGTGAGGCAGAACACCATGGCAGGGAGCATTTGGTGGAGCAAAGAAACTCATGTCACAGCAGCTGGGAAATGGAGAATAGAAGAAGAAGAGGCCAGAGACAAAATATACCCTTCAAGGGCACATTCCCAGTGACCTGCTTCCTCCAACTAAGCCACACCTCATGATAACCCACCACCTTGCAATAATCTATCAAGCTATGAATCTATCAATGGGTAGGAGCCCTAATGATCCAGTCACCTCCCAAAGGCTCCTCCTCTGAACACTGCTGCTCCAGGAACCCAGTCTTTAACATGTGAGGGATTTTTTCAATCCAAACCACAAGTGTCTTATATTCTTTACTGGTAAAATGTGACCAGTAACGTGATGATCATGTGGTTGTTGTGAACATCCTGTGATGCGAATGAAATGTGTAGGTGTTTGACGTGGTCCTGCTATACAGACAGTGTATGCCAGGTAGCAGAAACAGGTGCTATTGCTTTGACAGATGTACAGGCGCCAGGCACTCTACAGGCTCTGGGAATAAGTGAATGAACACAGTTCTAATTGAGAGAGGGCAATGACTACTGGGGGCATGCTTTCTTTGGGGCATGATTAGAATGTTCTGAAGTGGAGGGCTGGGGGTGTATCTCAATAGTACTGCTTGCCTAGCATGTGTAAGACCCTAGTACCACACACAGACACACACACACACACACATACACACAGAGTTCTAAAATGGATTGTGGCAGTGGTTGCACAACTCTGAGTATAGAGTAGAAACATAAATTACATAGTATAAATTATACCATAATAAAGTTACTCAAAAAAGCTAAGTGTCAAATATAAAACAATAAATGAATGGCAAAAACCATTAAAATCCAGACACCACCCACTAGGAATTCTGACTCAGTTGGTCAGGTGAGGAACTTTGGCACTGATAAGTTTTAGAAAGCTTTCCTGAACTTGGGCATGGTTGTACATGCCAATAATCCTAGCTGCTTAGGAAAATAAGGTAGGAGGTTCGCTTAAACCCAGCTGGGCAACATAGTGAGACCCCATCTCAAGAAAATAAAAATCAACAAAAGCTTTCCAGTTGACTGTGTTGAAGAGTCAGGTGTGAGAACCACTAGGCTTGTTGCACTCTATTTTTAGACTCCTTCCAGCAACAGTTGAAAGGTACAGAAACTCAGTCAAGTTCACATATGCACCAGATGGGCAGTTACTGGAAGGACGGAGAAGTCTTCTAAAGCCCTCAGATAGTGTTTGTTCTCTGTGACTCCCATAGCAAGTTTCCCCTACTTTGGTGGCTTAACTCACCAGAAATGTATTCTCTCACAGCTCTTGGAGGCCAGAGGTCCAGATCAAGGAGCTGGCAGGCTGTGCTACCTCTGAGGCTCTGGAGGAGACCCCTGCGCCTCTTCATGCCTTCTGGAGGCTCCTGTCAGCCCTTGGTGTGGGGCGGCCTCGCTCCGGTCTCCGCGTCCATCTTTACTGGCCTTCTCCCTGTGTCTCTGTCATCCACCATCAGATTGGGTACCGGCTCTAATGAGTCTCACTTAAGTTTAGCTGAATTAAGTGCATCTGCCACATAACTTCCAAATTACTTTAGAAACAGGCTATTTCCAAACAGGAAAAACATGAACTTTGAGAGGAAATGATATTTCCAGTCAGAGTAGATGTGACTCTATGGTGGTGGTGCTGGCGCAGTAATATTCACCCACTGTAGGCTTGAGGCTCAACCCAGACTCACAAGCCCCTGAGGCAGAAATGAAAAATAATTGGATGGTCTTTGCTGTTCACCCCCATATGGGGATGCTATAATCGAAAAAGCCACTCAATTTCCCTTTCACGGTGTCCCTATGCAATAACCCAATTCTCAGGGCCTCTGTGTTCCAATTCCCACTTCTCAGGAGATGCTGATGGGTCTAACATGGATTACTATGATCTCTCTGGTTGTTTTTTGTTTTGTTTTGTTTTGCTTTTTGTTTGATTTTGTTTTTGAGACAGAGTCTCACTATGTAGTCCAGGTTGCCCTTAAATTTATGGAGACCCTCCTGCCTCAGCTTCCCGAGTGCTAGGATTACAGGCATATACCACCACACCCAGCACTATGACCTCTCTGGAGGGAGAATTCTGAGGGTCTGCTGTTGGCTCAGGGGGGACATGGAAACTCACCGAGGCACAGGAAACCTGAATGCGTGGCCATGGAGTCCCCAAAAGACCTGCAGGCCAGAGGGGCTCCACTTGGAGCAGTGGCAGCCTATACAGCATGCGTGGAAATAAGTGGTCTTTGGTTGAACACAATGATGGAGGTGTATAGCTGTGAAGGGCCAAATTTAGGATAAGGAGGAGAAGGCACTTAAGAGGAGTCCCTAAAATTTACCAACCAGGAGGGTTTTTCTTCTTTTTGCTGGTAGTACCAGTAAAACTTAGAGTCTTGCACATATTAGGCAAGTACTCTACTATTGATCTATAGCCCCAATCTTTTTAAAATCTTTTTTCAGTACTAGGGACTGAACCTAGGGCTACATCCCCACCCCTCTCTTATTTCAAGACAAGGTCTTGCTAAATTATTACGTTCCCCTGGCTGAGCCCAAACTTGCCATCCTTCTGCCTCAGCCTCTCAGGGTACGCCCACCATCATGCCCAGTCCTTTTTAAAATTTTATTTGAGGCAGCATCTTGCTTTTGCCCAAGCTGTGGTGCTCCTAAAACTAAAATTTGTGGTCCTCCTGCCTCATCCCCAGCCCCTCTCTGAGTAACTGGGATTATAGGCATGTGATATCACACCATGTGCTATAAACAACATTTTAATGCACCAGAAAAAAATCAAAATGTATGCCCAAAGTCTCTGAAGAACACAGTACCAAAATATCAATAAAGACAAGTTCAGTACTGATGTTCCACAGGCAGGGGTCAGGGACGCCATAACCTGTGGGTGGAGGCAATCAGTCCCACACCAGAACGGGTCTCACCCAACAGATGCCACTGACTGAGAACCAACTCAGACAAGTCTAGGGTTAGCAACACAGCCCAGGGTCCTAGAGCCAGTCCTACTGCCGCCCGTTTTGCAGTCTGCTTCTTCCCGTCACTTCTGTGCAGCCATTCAGCTTGGAAAGTTCTGGCAGGTCCCTCTCCTCCCCTCCTCCCGCCTCCTTGCTAGGTGTCTTTCTTAGTCTACCCTGCACCAGCTCCAGGTTTCTAGATGGATGTAACCAAATGCAGGGGAAGAAAAGCCAATGTTTCTTGCAACATATTAATAATAAAACTATTAAGTAAAGAGAACAGCAAACTGCCAAGAAAGCCATGTTTCTTGAGCCAAGGTCAGAAAAGAATTCACCAGCACCTAGATGGGGGTTGGCAGCTGTGACTGGAGACTACATGGGGCCTAGCCTGGTGCACTTCTCAAAGATAGGCCAGGATGTCTCACACCACCACTGCTGCCCCCACCTCCGGAGAGCTGGGGATGCTTAAACATGGCCATGAAGGCCACAGGTGCCTTACCCTTAGATCTAAGAATCTTATCATTTCATAGAGAAAGATTAAACCAGTGGTTGTCAACTAGGGGCAGTTGGATCTCCAGGGAGTGTCTGGCAATATCTACACACATTCTATGTTGCTGCAGCTTTTGGAAGGGGAGCTACATGTAACTCAGCCCACAACAGGTAACTCTCTAGCCCCAGATGCCAGCAGCACAGAAACTGAGAAACCTAGGTTAAAAGATAGCTTCAAGCTAGGTGTGGTGGCACACACCTGTAATCCCAGCACTCAGGAGGCTGAGGCAGAAGGATAGTTGTGAGTTTGAGACCAGCCTGGGCTACAAAGTGAGTTCAAGGCCAGCCTGAACTACATAGCAAGACCCTGTCTCAAAAAAAGAAATGGTGAAGTTGGCAAGCAGGTGAATGCTGCTGGTGAAATGACAGGGTCAGCTCATGAAGCAGGCTGTGGTGCCTGGATGAAGGCGGGGAGATTGATGGGAAAGGTATGTGACACAGGCGGGTAAGAAGCACTGGCCTGTGACTGGGAGATGCATTAATTACTTTCCCAAGCATGTGATAAAATACTCGACACCCACAATTTAGAGGAGGAGAGGCTGATTTTGGCTCACAGTTTCCCGTGGGCTACATCCAAAGTCAGCTGGTTCTGAGGTAGAAGTGGCATGGCGGAAGAGCCTGCAGAGGAGAGCTGCTCATCCATGGCAGCCAGGAAGCAGAGGTAAAAGGGTGGGGCCAGGGAGGGAGACACAGCCTTCCTGATGAGGCCTCCAATCACCCACCTCATACAGCCAGGCCACACTTCCTAACATCGCATTCAGCGAGGAACTCAGCAATGGATTGATCCATTGATGACTACGGTGCTCCCACAGTCCACCTCCCAAAACGTTTGGCCTCTGAACACATGAGCCTTTGGGGGGATATTCTAGACCTAAACCACATTAGCCAGCAACTGGTGTGTAAGCTGGCTGGCAGTCCACTTCTGTGAGGACATGTTGCAGCTGAGAACCTGGGAAAGGTTGGGAATGGCTGTATTGATGAAAGAAGGAAAATGTGATGAGTAACTTGGGGACAAAGGTTGGGCAGATGCTGGAGGTCGTCCAACTCATCAGGTGTCAGGTGTTTTGTATTAGTGATGAGGAAAGTACTAAGACAACCAGAAAGTGAAAGGTAGAGCCAAGATTCCAACCCTGACCCCCCCATGTGCTTCAAAAATGTTCATGTGCCTCAAAAATTACACACTACTGTTTCTTTACGAATGCTTTCTTCTTCCCAGAGAAAGAAAAAACCAAGGTGCAGAAGCAGAGAGAGGATGAGCTAATCCAGAAGATCCACAAATTGGTACAGAAGAGAGACTTTCTTGTGGATGATGCAGAGGTGGAGCGGTTGAGGTGAGAGCGCTGCATATCCCCCAGCACCAGGCTGCCTGACCCAACCCTACCCAACTCATGACCACACTGGGGATGCACAGCCTTGTCTGACAGGAACAGTCTCTATCATTGCTTCCCAGACACTGAACCCAAAAGAATTCCACCCTCTGGCCTGAGGATTGATTTCATATTCAAGAGAAATATCAATTCACCTCCTGAAATTCTGCAAAGGCCTGTGTGATTTAGGTGGGTGTCATTCAAGGAGGTGACCAGGGAGGAATAGCATCATATGCATGTAGTAGACCTCCCTACACATCCTCCCAACTCACTAGGCAACTTCCCAAAACATCTCTCATCTCTACCAAAACTCTGACTTGCTTCTTTCCCCTACCCTCTCAATTCATCAGCTTTGTCCTTTTCTTTACCTTCCCCTCAGTAGCTCTGATACCTCTCCTACCTATGTGTACCGGTCACCTTGACTTGCAGAACCATAAATCCTGGAGCCACAGTGCAGCTCCCAAGGAGACTGGGCATGGGGAAAGCTGTTCATGTTCATTCCTGAATACCTTTGTCTTTTGCACTGTCTCCTTGTGGAGGCAACTTTATTCTTTGTATCCTTTAAGGTCCCTCTCTGCAGCCCTAGGCTGTACCTTGCCTAGCTCAGCCAGGCTGGCCCACTATTTTATTCCCCATGACCTTGAAGGGCTGAGTTCACTTGCTTTCTGAGATTGGCCACACACCTTGTGGAAACAGAGATGACCAAGGTGGCTTAAAAGTACAGGATCTGGAGTGGAGCTGCCCAGCTCACTGATGCAGCAGGGAAGATGGATCCTATGATGTCCCTCTCTCTGTCCTGGGGTCCTACCCAAGCCCCGGGTCACCAAGTAGCCTATTGTTGATATTCAGAGGAGATTCACCAAGTACAATATCACACACCACACATGGCACGCAACAACATAGGTGCATATCCTCAAGGACCAACACCTGGTTCCCACACTCAACCTCTCACCTCATTTTCTTAGTTCCTTGATGTCTTCCTTGCTTACTCTCTTCTCTCTTACATATCTGCCTTTCCAGGGAGCAAGAAGAAGACAAAGAAATGGCCGATTTCCTGAGAATCAAGTTAAAACCTCTAGACAAAGTAAACCAATGTCCAGCCAGTGAGTACATACATTATCCTCTTCCTCCCCATGAAAAAGAAAAGGCTGTTTCAAAGCAATGTCAAGCCCGGGAGAGGCACAACAGAATGCTCTTTAGAGATCAGACTTGAGCAGCAGGTAGGGTCAGCTTCAGGGGCCTGCAGCTCGTGCGGTCTCCAGGCTCCCTGTCCAGAAGGGCAGAGCACTGAACCTCTGCTATTGCTGTCTTGAAAATCTTAATATTTTTGGAACAAGTGGCCTTATATTTTTATTTTACTCTGAACCCCAAAATCTATGTGGGTGGTCCTGGCTGCAGCTGTTCCTCCCTAATCACATGATTTGGTGTATTTCGGAAGAGGAACTGGATGGCCACTAGTGGGGCTGCAATCTCTGTAAGAGGTGGAAGCACTCTCCTCAGAATATTAGCCTTATGAGATACGGAAGAGCAAAAGGGTTCTGTGTGAAACAAATTTGTGAAACTCTGCACACACTTGACCCTCCCTGTGGAGGCCCCAGTGTCCCTTATGATATTAAAGTGATAATGGATCCTGCTGTCAAGGAGCTCTTTTCTCTCTGTTGACTCACTGTGTCTCAAACACGTCTAACTGCTGCAATAGTGAGGCCTCTCTCACTTATAAGAAATGCATGGCCAATTCAACCTGGTCTAAGCACAAAAGGGCATATGTTGGAGGAAGAGCCATAAGAACTAGGGCCTCAGGAATTGAACACCATTACAATTCCCTCATTTTCCTTCCATTTCTGATCTCTACCCATCTTTGCTTACTAGTGTCATTTAACCCTACTATGTAGGCCTTGTCCACAGGCCTGAGCTCTAAAACCATAGCTTGGTAGCTCCAAAGCAGTGCCAGAGTCCTTCTCTGGGTATCTGAGTATATAAGCCTCAGGGAATGACACAGATTGGTCCTTCCTGGATCATGTTGCCACCTCATAGGCCTGTCATTGTCACCAGAGGCTGGAGTGCTGTGATTGGTCAGGTCTGTGTCACATGTCCTCTTCTGGAGCCACACAGAGCTGTTACCAGAGGAAAAGGGACTAGAAATCGGTGGGAAAACAAAACCCAAAAGTGGACACTAACTATATAACCATAAACTTTGTCTTCTCTGCCGCCCATTGGCATCCCATGAAAACAGCTGTAGAGTCTGGGAGTAAAGAAAGAAAAAGGTGTGCTCCCTTCTGCTGGCTCCTAGAACCACAAGGCATAGGATCCCTGCCTGAAACCAGTATCCTTGATAGATTCTTCCATGAAAGGCAAAGTAGAAAATCCCTACTTGGCAGCTTGGAAGAACAAGGAAACTTGCCTGCTATACAGGGTTTTAGACAGAAAAAAGAAATTGATTCTGGCTAGAAATCAAAATACTAAGCCTGCACCACAACCAAGGGGCAAAGTATATGTCCCAAATTTACACTATTCATTTGGTGCTAGAATCCCAAGTTGAAAAATAAAAACTAGTTGAAAACCAGTGAAATCGCAGAGACACTAGCTGGAGCAAATGTAAAACTGCTCTGCAGGGACCTTTCTGTGGCTTATAGTACACAGTACTTCCACAGGTAAAGCAACTCCTCTCAAGAAATGAGCTCTCAATAAAATTTAAAAACCCATGAAGAATTTTACTACCATGAGGGGAATCAGTAATGCAACATGGGAATGGCCTTCCGAGAACCAGACAAAACAGAACTATTTTAAAGAGACAATAAACAAAATATATTTACAGCATTAGGGATAAGATAAGGAATAAAACCATAGTGGAATAGCAAGATGCTGTGAAAAAAGGGTAAGTACTCTGGGGCAGAAGCTCATTGGCAGAGGGCCTGCCTCCCATGCATGAGACCCTGGGTTCCATCACCAGCACACAAGAATAAATAAATAAATAAAGTTTTTAAAAAGCAAGCAAATAAATAAATAAACCAACTCGTGCAAGCTGTGTGCTCTCTAAAAACAAAGAATAAGGAGATCTGTAAAAAAAAATTAACCTTCTAAAAAATTATTTTTACTGAAATAAAAACTTGATGGACTAAATACAGACACAGTTGAAGGCATGATTCATAAAGTAGAAGGCAGATTTAAAGAAATTACTCAAAATGCAGCAAAAACATAAAAAGATGGAAAATATGAGAGGTTAGGGACTACAGAGGATAGAATGAGAAGACCTAGACATTCCAGAAAGAGAGAAAATAGAGAATGAGAAGTGAGGAGCTCTAAAAAGATAATACATTAGTATTCTCCAGAGTTGAAAAATGTGAACCCTCAGACTGAAGTGACTTGAACAAAATTTCTCCTTTTGTCTGCTCACCAAATGCTCCTTAAACACCAGGTCACGTGCAGGGCTTGAAAGATGTGACTAGGACTGCTCACTGGGAGGAGGACTGAAAGCTCAGGCTGGAAGCTGAGAACTGAAAGCTGGTAGGCCCACAGGAAGTGGGAATAGTCAGCTAAACTAGACCACCTAAACTGCACCCCAAAACCGGGCCTGGCCAGGGTTCAGGGTGGGGCAGGGCGGCCCCTGTGAGGTCTCCTCACTTCCCATCTGCCTCTCTCCCTCTGTGCTCTCCCTTGCTGCAGGCTCCCGGGCAGAGAAGAAAGCAGAGCCCCCACCTAGCAAGCCCACGGTGGCCAAGACAGGGCTGGCACTCATCAAGGATTGCTGCGGGGCCACCCAGTGCAACATCATGTAGCCCCACGTGGGGTGCCCGAGGGCCGCGGGGACCCCCATCCTCCCGCCCTCTTGTCATCATAGCCCCAATTTCACTGGGGCTCAAGAACTCTCCAAGGCGGCAGGGGTTAAAGGCAAGCCTGTGACTGCCACCAGGGGCCATGGGCATGGCAGGCGGGCCCGGCCACCCTGTACAGAGTGTAGCAATAGGGAGTCCCTCACTGTCGCATGGCCCTCCCCAGAGCATGCCGAACCCAGGAGTCTGTCTCACCTTTATCCAACCACCAGGAGAGGTCCTCTCTCACAAAAGTATATGTCCACTTCTATCTAGCTATATCTAACCCACCGTGCCGAATGAACTGGGAGAGGGGCATGATCCCCCGGTGTGTATAGTTGTGACTTTTCAATAATCTAGCGCCATGTTGGACACATCCCCCATCCACCTTCCTAGCTGTACCATCAGGCCTGGCCCAAAAGGGCATAAGTCCCCTCCCCTGTCTGTCCTCTCCCAGGGACTGTGCTCTGGACGGCTCCACCTGACCCACACATCTCTGAGGCGCCATCAGTATTGCCTTCCTGGAGACCGATAGCCTGCCTGTAAAGACTGAGCTAGTGTGTGCTGTGGTGGTTACATCTCCTGCTTCCTCCCATCCTGTGTCTGGGCCTGACCAAGAAGCAACCGGGAGCAGATGCTGACCCAGGTACTCTTCACCCACCCGGGGCCACCACAGGAGTGCCAGCAGGACACTGCCCCACCAGCTCGACACAAAACCTCCGTAAAGGAACAGCAACAGGCAGGAGAGGCAGCCTGACCCAACTGTGTCCCATCATTTGGTGGCATATTTGAACCAGCCTAACAATCCTCCTGTGTAGCTTGATGTACATTTGCTACAGCCAGCCCGGCACAGCCTGTGTGACTTCTCTGTACATGTATGTGTGTCGTGACTGGCCTAAGTAGTTAGCATAACTCAAGATTTGCTGATGCGCAATCATCCATCAGACAAAATAAAAATAGAAACCACGTACACAGCATTTTAAAAGTTTTTACTTTTTTCTTGATTATGGAAGTAATTCGTGTATATAGTAAATAATTTTAAAAGTATACAAAGCATAAAGAAGTTTTTTTTAACACCCATGAGTCCTCTAACTAGAGACCTCTAACCTTTTGGCATGTTTCCTTGAAGTGTTTTTTAAGCATTTTGGTTTTCTTGATTGGCATCATGTTGTACCATTTTATAACAAGATTTTCCCCCACTTAACATGGTATCACTACAGTCTCCTCTCATTATTAAAAGATCTCTATAAACATTAAACACTCTTCCTAAATGTTCAGAATGGCTGCTGAGTAATCCATCTTGTGATCACACTGTCACCCGTCATCATTCCCTCACTACTGGACTCACATTTAGAGAGTTTCTTGTTTTCAGCATTATGACAATGTTATGATAAATATCTTGAAGAGATAACACTTCATCTGAATTGGATTTTTCCTTAAGATAAACTCTTTCCTCTTTTTTTTCCCCTTTTAGTGCTTGGGATTGAACCCAGAGTTTTAGATGTCAGGCAAGTGCTCTACAACTGAACTACATCCCCAGCCCAAGATAATCTCTGAGAAGTAACATTCTTGGGCTATCAATGAATAGCATTTTCAAAATGTTTCTAGATCACAAGTGAATGCACACGTGTCTCCACACACAGTCGCTTTGGAGTTGACCCCTGGTATCTTGGACTGGGGGCCCGAGGCTTCAGTTTGATGGCTCCTCTCGGGGGCAGCATGCCTCAGCCTCCACAGTCTCATATGTGTTTCTGTTCAGTCCAAGTTTTGCCCTCACCCTTTCTGCCATTCTGATGCTGAAGAGACTTCCCAGGCCACTCAAGCAATGGACAGCCTGAGCTCCTTGTATAACTAGGTCAAGCACAGAGCTGGGCTGAATGAGTGTCACAAGGCTGCCATAACAAATTAGCTCACCCTGGGTGAGCTCCACACAATGGAAATCCAGCCTGTCTCAGTTCTGGAGGCCAGAAGCAACAAGGTGTCTGAGAGCATCACATCCCAAGGCTGCAGGGAAGATGATTTGCTTGCTTTTCCCAGCTCCAGGCTCCTGGAAATCCTCAGCCTTCCTTGGCTTCATTGGTCTAGTCTGCCTCCATCTTTGGGTGGCCTTCTCCTCCTGATGTGTCTCTTGCATCCTTTCCTCATTTTACAAGGACACAAGTCATTGAATTTTGGGCCTACTTTAATCCAGCACACTGTCATCTTGGTCCTATTTACCTTACTTCTGCAAAGACCCTGTTTCCAATCAAGGTCACATTCTGAGGTTCCGGGCAGACATGAATTTGGGGAGTTGCTATTAAACCCACTACACATCCTGCCCACTTGAACTCACAATAAATAAAACTCAGGCTGCAAAGCGCCTGCTTCTCTCTTCCTGGTGGAAAATGTGGGTCAGGGAGGCCTAGCCTACAACCAGTCACAGAGCTGTCACTCACTAGACCATGGAGTAACTGGATTCTCATAAAAAAATACTTCCACTGAGACCTGGAACAGGGCCTACCTTATGTTCCTGCTATTCCCTTGATGTTTTTCAACAACAAACATTTATTTAGACTTTCACAGAAGAGCAGAAGCAAACAGTAATTCTTGATGCTCCCAGATCATAAGGGCTGCATGCAAACCTGGAAAACCATGAAGGCTGTGGGATCTTGCATGCATAGACTCATTTCTTTTGGCAGTCCTAAGGAAGACATTAATAGAAGTCACATCTATTGTAGTTCATCACTGTGCACTGAGTAATGTACACACATCAGCGCGTTTGCTCCTCATATCAGCCTGACAAGACAGATCCTATTATTACTTCTTCTTTACAGATGAGAAGGCGGCAATAAATCCATGGCCTAAGGTCCCACAGGCAATTGGTGGCACAGTATCATTCATCCCTCTCTCTCCTGTTACCTTGATAGTCCTATCTCTTTCCTTGTATGTTTATAAACACTTTCTCCTCCATCATTTACAAATACCACTTTCTATTCCATCCCCCCTTTTTTTGTGGCACTGGGGATTGAACCCAGGGCCTTTGCACTGAACTACATCCCAGCCCTTATTATTTATTCCAAGACAAGGTCTTTCTGGGCTCCTATTTTCCTTTTACAGCCCTACCTTTCATTCCATTTTCACAGCCTTCTTTACCCTTCATACCCTGGCTATTTCCACTTTCTCAGTCTCCAGATCCTTCCTGAAGCTACTTTAACCTGGTTTTTATCACTCTCTAGCAAGTGACTCCTTTCACCAGGAATGCAGCCATTCAGGTATGTCTAGCTGGTACATGTCAGCCTTCACGCTTTCCCAGCTCTTTGCAGCGTATGATACGGACACATGCATGACTGTTTTGATGCTTCACTCTCTGGGAGCGCTTCCTACTACTCACAGGGCCTGTCTTCAATCCCTCTTAAGGCTCCCTCAGCCTCAGAGACTGGATCTTGCCATTTTGCTCTTTTCTTTCTCCTAATTTTTTCCATTCTTTGCACATCTCAAATGGCCTTCTACATTCTGACAGCTCCTTGGATTCTTTCTGTAGCCTAGGCCTCTCTCCTCTGCTCAGACTGCTAAGCTGCTTCTTGAGGATCTCTATTTGAATCTAGAATAGACACATCAAGCAAGGGGCTGGGGATTTAGCTCAGTGGTACAGCACCTGCCTGGCAAGCGTGAGGTCATGAGTTTGATTCCCTGTACCAGAAAAAAACCAAACCAAACAAAAAAAAATTAGAATAGACACATCAAATGCAACACATGCTAAACCAAAGATTGGCAAGCTACTGCCTATAGGGCTGAATTTCACCTGCCTTCTGTTCTTATAAAGCTCCATTGGAACATAGCCATACTTATTCATTCATATGTCTGTGGCTGATTTCGTTCAACAGCCCAGCAGAATAGTTGTGATACAGCACACAGCCTGCACATACTGAAATATTTGCTCTCTAGATCTTTAACAAAAAGGTGGCTGACCCTTGTCCGAAACTGTGCTCAGCTTCTGTGGTATGTTTTCACCCAGGGTTACCCTAGGACATGCCCTTGACTCCTCAATTCCTCCTCGCACCCATGCACTTGCTGAGTTTTCAGCTTCTCCTTCCTAAGTTTCTCTAGACTCTGGCACTCCCATGGTAGTCACCACCATCTTTTGCTTGTTCAACTGCAGCAACTTAATAGGCCTCCTCAGTGCTGGTCTCCCTCCTATTAAATTCATTCTCCACATTGCACCCAGTGATTTTCTTAATAACACAACTTCACAGTCGATCCCCTCTTCAGAAGCACTTCCACAGCCTTAGGATGAAACCCACGCTTTCCCATGTGCCTTAGTGCCCCCTCTGATCTGGCCCTGCCACACCTGAAGCCTCCTCTGCTTCTTCCACCTCCTGCATCCCTCCCGGTGCTGGAGCCACACAGCCTTCTTTGGATTCTTTGGCTCTTCTCGCTGTGCTGTCAGCACCTCTCCTAGATTTTCACACATCATTCCCTCTGCCAAGAACTTCACAGATTCCCCATTATCCTTTCTTCCTCGTTCTCTCTAGTACTGGCCTGGCAGTAAAGCCTGGGGTCTTGGGCATTTTCCAGCCTCTGGCCACCCAGCTGGCCTCTCCCACCTCCTGTCTCACCTTTGTTCATGCCAGTGTTTAAGGGAACAAAGGTAAACAAAGTAGAAGCTGAGCAAAAAGGAAAACCAAGCAGAGTGGTGTCTAAGAGGTGTGTTCCAGTGTCCAGCTTTACCCAGGGTAAGTCCCGATGGACTGTGTCACAGGACGTGGTTGGTGTGAGGAGTTCTGGTAAAGTGCTGGTATGGACGCCAGATGCATCAGATGTATAGAAAACTAATATATTCTATTAATACTTTAAGCCAGGCCCTAGATCCTGAGGATACACTATATAGTAACAGCAGCAAAAAATCACAGAACTTACTACCTTCAATAACTTGCTGCCTGGTTGAAGAAAACAATGCAATAATCACACACATAGCTATCCAATAGCAAAGTATGATTATTTTTTATATATTCTGGAAGCAAAGTATATATTCTTTGAAACTCCAGAGAATGGTGCTGGACAGGCTGATGCTGATGCCTGCCTAGGGATGGAAAATGGGGTGGTCAGAGGAAGCTCTTCTAAAAAATAATGCCTGTACCAAGATCTGTGTGCTAAGGAGACCATTAGCTTGTTAGAAACAGGGCAAATAATAATAGTAGTTACAGCAGATACTTACTGCATCACTAGGGCCTGCAGGTCTTGTTTTAAAGTACTTTGCCAGTAGTGGCTCACTGATGATAGAAAAGAACTCTGTGAAAGCTCTCGTTTTCATTTGAAGGCCAGGAAGGAGGCACTACATGGCTAAGTGGAGATTCAAACCGAGGCCCCCGACTTCAGAGGCCGTATTCTTAGCCACTGCCTGATATCTGAGCTCAGGGTCTGCATGCCAGAGGCTCCAAAGCAGGAAAGGGCGGAGCGCAGCTAAAAGGCTGAGAAGGCCACTGTGGCAGGAGCCAGGCCAGGAGTGGAGATAGGGGACCGTCGGCAGGGGTCAGCCTTAGAATCCCTGGGTGCAGAACCTCAGTGGTCTCCCCATGCACAACAGCAGAACAGAGACTTATTTTGGAACAAGGATTTCCTTTCTGAAATTTGTTTCCTACTCCATCTACCTCAGACAGACTCAGTGGCTTCCACCACACAGAAGGCAGTGACCTGCCTATGCTGCTCTGGTATAAGAAACTCAGAGGGGAGAAGGGGTGAAGGCTAAACGGGAGCTCCCTGTGCCAAAGCCCAGGCAGAAATGGAAGGGGGAGGGGTGGTCACACGAGCTGCCTAGGGTGGATTGAAGAGATAGCACCATGCAGGCCCAAGATGGTCCCTGACAACCCCGAGATCCCCATTCCTATGGAAGCTCCTGGCTGGCTCCCCACCTTCTGCAGAGCAAGTTGCTGAGCAGTCACTTTGCACAATCTATCCCCAAACTTGACTTCTGCTACCATGAAGTGGGTTCTGTTTTCCTTCTCGGTGCCCAAAGATCCTTGCTTCCAAATCCTTTCTTACCAGCGAATTTGTCTTTGATCCTCCGGCTTGAGATTTTCCAAGCTCCACATCTCAAATGCCTGAAAAATAAGGGGTTCTCTTTGCTGTCGTTATTTACAACATGTTATGTGGATTTCATCATATTCCAACCTAACCTGTTCCTGAGGGTGGTCTGTCTCCTAGGGAGACTAAACACTCCTGGAAAGGACATTAAGACATTCCCTTCCACGAATATCCACTGAAAGAAGCAAATCAGGTAAGTCTTCTATATGTACCTCTCCAGAGTGGTGAACCCCCAAGCTCCTTAGCCCTCTAAAGGGGCATGATAATTCAACTTTTCCTGCAAAACTTTCCTATAGTGAAAAGACGTTTTGAAAGGATTGTTACAGGCTGTTAGAAGCTTTTCATGTAACATTAAAAAAAGCAATTTACTTAAATGTTTTCAGGGTCTTTTCATATTCTTGCAGGGTAGGGAGGCGGTGGCAGCAGGGGCTGGGTGATGGGTGCTTTACCAATGCACCTGTGAAAGACATCTTTCTCAAACTGGCTCCTTCACAAGGAGGGAGATCTTAAAAATGCTCCAGTTTTCTAACCACAAGTTTGCACAGCTGCTGAATTTTCCAAAATGGAGTTTTTCCCAAGGCCAACAGTCCAGTCCCCTGCCTGGGATGGTGCTTGAGAGCCTCTACAATGTCCTCCCACTTTGTGCAGTATCTCACACTTACATTTTCGGAAGGGTAACAAGCTGGTGTGTGTGTGTGTGTGTGTGTGTGCGTGTGCACGCGTGCGTGCACACACAAAATGAAAAGATGACAGAACTGGATTGGCTTATAATCCCTCCCCACAGAAAGACCAACAGAGAAACTCAGATTTGATGCTTGCTTGTAAAGTTTATTGACAACTGTTTGGTCCCAACACACAAAACAGCACTTGAACCACAAAAAAGTGTTCAAACAAAGTAGACAGTTAAGAAAAACATCTCTTCCCCCAAGCCCAATCCAAAACAAACAGTGCAAGATGGGAAAGGGGGTTTTGGTGATAATTTTTGTCTTTTTTTAAACAGATAAATCTCAGCTGGTACATCTTTCCATCCAGAAATAAAGCACTTTATTATATTAATGTACATACATCATTATGTCATCATTTAATTAAGCCTCTGGATAAAAAAATAGATAGGAACTGGACTGGCCACTGTGGGAAACATCATGAACACAACGTGCTTCTGCTGCATTTTCACATTTTCAACAGCAATTTTTAGTCACACATGTGTCCCAGACTAACTGGCAGCTCCAGTAAATGCTATGAACACACACTCACATGATAGTGCAGGACACCTTTCTCTGCTGCCCAAAGAACCTGTTCTTTGAGACTGTTCCAAGTGACTTGTAATGATGCCTCACATGTTTTTAAAGTCCACAATTTTCTGCATGCTGGCAAAACTGAAGTCCAAGCGTGCAAACTCGGCCTTATGAAGTCTCAGTATAAGGCCACTGATGTTCTCAACACCAACTTTATCATGTTGTTTAAAAGCGTCTTTTAAAAAATTGTACATATGCATTTTACTTCCTGTAACACTATGTCTGTAGCAGAAATGCCTGCAGAAGGATTTGCAAAGTGCCATAATACTTTTAGAAAGGTTTTTCACAGTTGTTCCATCTTGATTGGGGCATGTATTGAGAATTGGAAATCACTGGCTTCATTTAAAAGATTCAGGGAACAAAAACCTAACTCATAAAAATCTTTCTGTAGCCCTTATTTTGTGGCATTTTATCAAAATGCTGGCTACAAATCAGAGTCCATTTTTTTGGCTTTCTAGAAATTACAAAACATAAACATGTCCCCAAAAGAAACCATCTAACTAGTGGAAGACCTCATGCCAACAGGTTTTTCTGCTCTATGAAAGAATCCAGCTTTTTTGCCCAACAAATACAACCCATTGTAAATGTCAGGTCTCTCTAGCAGGGGTGAGAGGCCACCCATGGGCTGACACCTCAGGCACCCAGAAAAGAAGGACATTCCACAGGGCAGTGCCCCCAAAGGCTGGCTTTTCCCAAATGCCAACATTAGACAACACACACATACGCTTCCAACAGCAAGAAGTAGCAAGACTAAAAACAGATGCTATTAAAAGACACTGAGCTAACATAGACACACACATCTTCACACAAAAAGCTTCCCAGCTACCAAAACCAGCTTTAAAATTACAAAAACAAGGTTAAGTTGATCAACCTTGGCCTTCGCATATATAGATAGAATTCTGTCTCTTCCTAGTAGAAATCGTATCAGTTCTGCTCCTGTTAAAGTACTTTACCACTCAGCTCTGATTTATAATTTATGCATTTGATGCATATTTTAGAAAATCAGACTCTTTCCAATACTGCCTCTTGACACACAATGTGTGTTGTGATTCAAATGCTGACTTTAAATTCATGACATCAAGACCATCTCCTTTTCCTTAACCTAATCCACATCAAACTGGAGTTTAATGTAGAAGGGAAGTGTAAAACATCCTCAACTTTCTAGAAAGCTCCTAAATGGAACCCCAAAATGGAAACGTTTAAAAAAAATGTGTGATGAAGCCACATTTGTCAACTACAGACATAGTTAAATAAAAAACAAGACACACTTACAAGTCACAGGGAAGCCAGGAACCTTCATATTCCAACCTGAAAACACAGCTCCTTTCCTCACCTGCCCTTCACCCTCAGTGTGTGAACGTCCAGGCCCACAGAACAGGCTTCGCTGCAGAGACGCATCATGCATCTGGTTAACACTGTCAGAACACCAGTAAGCACTGGTTGAAAGGCTCTGCTGTGCTACATGCAGGGTTGCACCACCCATGCAGCTCAGTGGAAGCCAAACCTACTGTTACCTGAGTTCTCACTGCTTACTTCTTCTGGACCACCACTGTGTTTCATAATAATTAAGAAGAATTTGGTAAATTAAAGATTCTTTTGACAAATGTCAGAAATTCTTTCAAATAACTGGAAAAAAAAAGAAGGAAGAAAAAAAAACAGCTAAAAGCTGTATTCAAAATGTAAAAGAAACAAAAACATTATGGAATACATCTAAAGAAGTGGCTTCAGGGCAGGGAGGTGGTTCAACGAAACAGAAAAAAACATTTTTTGAGCTCATTTTTGTGTGCAGAATCAGACAGTTTTTTTTTCCCATTCTAATTCTATGTTCAAAATGGGAGTTAAAGCTTGGTTATAGGTGCAAAGGAAAAGTTGGCTGCCAATTTTATTCTGTTCTTGGGTTGCTTTTTAGCTGGGCTTTCCACAGGGTCCTTGCTGAGCAGTGACTCAGGGGTGTCCAAGGTGGGGCAGGGAGGCACTGGGACAGCTGCTAGGACACAAGATGAGCTGGAATCAGAGGGCAGGTTTTCCTTCTTTACTGGTATAGGAATTTCAGTATTTTCTTCTTGGTTTAAAATCTTATTTTCTATAAACACAGAAAATCAAACAGATTCAGCTATAAGACTTATACGAAGTGTTAGTTTTTGTACAACCACTATAGAAACCAGTATGAAGAGTCCTCAAAAACTAAATACAGAAATTCCACTTGACCCAGCTATATCTCTCCTATGTATGCTCCCAACACAGTTACAGACAGCATACTACAGTGATGTATACACACCCACATTTAGTGCAGCACAAGTCACAACAGCTAAGCTCTGGAAATAGCCTGGATGCCCGCCAACACATGAATGGATGTGATATGTATACACAATGGAGCATTATTTAGCTACAAAGAATGAAATCTTTGTAGAAAAATGGATGGAACTTGAGAACATAATGTTAGGTGAAATAAGTCGGACACAGAAAGTTAAATATCATCACATGGTTCCTTTTATATGAGAAACCCAAAATATAAGCAAACAAAAAGGTAAAATAAAGGAGAGATGGTAGGAAACAAAAAGACTTTTGGAGATGGAGGAGGGGCTGGAAAGTAACAGGACTGAAAATGATCAAGATATGTTCTTTGTGCACACCAGTTCCCCAAAATGAACATCACCATTATGAACTGCAGAGTAATAATAATTAGACTCTGACAAAAATGTTATTTTATTTCCTCACTTGTATTTTCTCAAAAAATACTTAAAAAACAACCCACCCCATGTCACAACCATGCCGCAATTTATGTATTAACTGTGTGCCCAATTATTACATGCTGCAAAATTCAAATACTGATAAACAGCATCTCTCTTCTTCCCTGGACTATAAAGTTTTAGAGATCTTACTTTTGGCTACAAATCACTAAGCAATGTTCTTCCATTTGGATTTTCTGTTGGGCTGTTAAGGACCCATAAGCTATGCATAAACTTTCTGAGCCAAGAGGAGGGGCCTTCATGCCTGGGCGCTCCTGGCCCATTCCATTGCTATTCACACGGACCTAACCCCAGCCAGTAAGGGGAGAGTTGTGCTGAGTCAAAACTGCCCTAAAAAATAAAATCTAGTATATCAAATATTCCCAGTTCCCCTGCAGTGTTCATAGACTGCTATTTCTTTGGCTGAGACCAAGTAATTCACCTGATGTACAGTCAAAGTCCTGTTGCTTGAGAAGGATGTGTTATTTATTCATTATGCCTTAGACTACACTGAGCAGCAAGGGGCGCTGGCTGGCAAAGGCACATACAAGGTGAGAGTGACAAGGGACAGTGGAACCCCCAGCTCCTGAGGAAATTGTAGACAGACCAGCCCACACTGTTCAAATTTCTTCCCCCTCCCTTGTCACATGCATATGGCTGAGCTTACGTATATTTAATGTATAAAAACTATAATCCTGCAGAAGAGCTATTGATTTGCCATCAACGCCAGTTACACATTGCAGAGGAACACAATGCAAGACCCCCACCTCTTCCACAGGCTGGCTCTTCTCAGACTGTTTTATGTTCCCTCACCTCTAATTTCCAAGTAAAGAGCTTCAGTTCTTTCACTGATCAACAGTGCCAAATGCTGTTTAGGAAGACTAAGGGTAGTAAGAGCCAGCCCAGTAGCAGCAGGCTGTCCCTGGTGCTCCCTGGAAGGGCAGGCTGTCTCTGATGCTCCCAGCAGAGTAGGAAGGAGCCAGATTCCAAGGCATGGAAAAGGGAAAGATCTTACAGGGCAGGGGGTTCCTTGCAGAAGGCCTACTGACACTGAAAGAAGGAAAGAGCTACTAGGTTCAAATCCTGGCTCTGCCAAGTCCTAGCTGCATGACCTGTGGGCAGCTGTGTCTCTAGTTATGGTGCGAGGTATGCCTTAGTTACCCGCTGCAGTGTCTGGTCTGACTTGCTCATCATCGTATCCTGTCAGGGTTGAGCATGGGGCTAGCAGCTGGTGAGAGAGGCCAGTGCACCCTGTAGAACGCTGGCACTAAGTGTGGACTTGACAAAGACAGTTTCCTCTCTATTTTTAGGTCACTGGGTAATGTTCAGGGTTCAGACTGCACATGCCTTGCTCCACTCAAAAAGTCCACCTTCAAAAAGTCCCTGTACCCCTGGGGACCCCACCACAGGCCTCAGAAATGCAGACAGAAAACCACTTCAGCCTCCCCACGCCCGACCTCTGAACAGGATCGGGGACCATGAGGAATTTCCTACCCTCCTCTGTGGACTCTCCACAGCACAATGACATCATATGACCCCCGAGACCACCCTGTTTCCTTGCTCAGTGCTCCTCAAGCAACCTTTGGTTGTAAATCCCATTTGGTAGGAACCCTGATGAGGAAAGAAAGTTCCCAATTTTTTCCATTTCCCTCCAACATTTAATATACTGGCATCATGGTTCTTACTTATTTTAATTCACAAAGAAAGCCCTCTCGAGCAGTGCAACCTACCAGATGGCTCTTGAGGGTGTTCCTCGAACTGAATTAGATCAGCGGACTGTAGGATAACAGGATCTGGTCTCAGCTGAGGGGATGGCAGGCACGAAGGGACAGGCGCACACAGCAGGTCAACAGGGGAGCTGCTGGCCAGGCGGAGAAGCTCTTGATCCGTTTCACTAGACCCTTTACAAAGAAAGCAGGCTGCGGTCTACCATAAGGGCAAACATCAGTCTGTACCTGAGGTTTCCTCAGTCTTAAAAACAAACATGTCCACATATACTCAAGGTTTAAAAAAAAAAATTATCAGGAAGACCCTAGGTTAAAAAATGTCACAAGCCATTTATCTCCTGAATATCTGTGTTCCTAGGAACATCGGTCCCTGCAGAGGGCCCGCCTAGCAAAAAGGGCTTCACCATAGCTTCTAAGGAGGGAAAATGCAAACCCTGAGAAGTGGCAGAGTAGTTAAATGAGCAAAGCTCAGAATGAGAGGACTTAGACCCCGGCTCTGTCATTCCTCAGCCGACTCCTGGAGTTTCAGTTCCTCAGCGGGCAGAATGGAGGAACTTCTGCCAAAGGTTATGCCAACAGTGTAAGGAAACGACTTACAGTAGGTGCTTCCACAAAGAAAAATGCTGCATAACCAAACTTTCCTCCACACAAAGGGTACAGTAATGCTTCTACCAATTGGAGAAAACTCTGAAGATAACAATCTTACATATAACAACAGGTTCAACATCCTTCAGTAAAGTTGGAACATAAAATTCAAGAGAATTCATTTTTACCTGTTACAGAGGTGACTTTACACGAAATCTTGTGAGTCAATGTTATTTTGAGAAATATTACTGCATTGCTATCAAATATTTCCAGAGAAAGTCATCTGACAGAGATGTTCCCTGACCACACTTTAGTCAGACACCTCTGAGTTCTCTTCTCAACTAGGCCTTGCCTTAGTCTCCTGCCTTGTTCACCTTGTCCTTGCCAGGTCTAGTTCTACTGGGAACACTGCTCAATCAGATTTGTAAACTCCCTACTTTGATATCTGATTAATTCCCCATCCCCAACCCTTGATATCTGAATCCTTGCTTGCCTTTAGCAGAATCCTGTTAGGCCAATTCAGCAAGATTCCCCCAACTTTTGCTGTGTCCTTTAGTGATTTTTCTATCCATTGACCCCCTCATTCTGCTCCTTGACACTAAATCCCCATTTGTCTCTTTGTATTTGGAGCAGAGTGCTCTTCTCTACTGCAATAGTCTTGAATTACCATTTTAGCAAGTGTCAGGTACCTTTAAACAACACCTGAATTGGGGTATCATCATTATGGGGGACACTCTAAGCAGCTAATCACACAATAGAATCAAATACAGGCCAGTTTCTTCTCTGTTACGCGTTAAACACAAAACTGCTTTGGAAAAAGCTATGACTAATTAATGAAATGATTTGCTGTCATCCACACATTCCCCACCCCAAGCTGTTTGTCTCATAATTTTGTAAGTTTTGCTTCATTCACCTTTCCTCTCACAACACTGTTACCTGCTCTGAGCTGGGGTTCTGAAGCTGTGTGCAAGTCAGGCACCTCCAGGATTTGCTCACCGTCTGCAGGGTAGTTTTCATGACTGGCGGGGGAGAGACCGAGTGAACTCAGCCGGCCTAGAGGACAAGGAGCACCCGTCAGAGAGAATAGTCAGAGAGAACCGTGATTGTTCAAGGGGCAGGGGACAGGTGCTTACTTACTTTTCATGTCATTTTTTAACACTACAATTCTCTTATGACCATGTCCTTTTATCCAGACCACCTGCACACAAGACATACTACTGGTTAAGCAGTGGAAAAGGAGGGGAAATCACCCTAGCATTCAGGAAGAGTGGGACCCACTGTACCTGCTTTAAACATGCTAGAATTCAGAAACCAAATGAATGCCAAGAACAGTTTTCTTGTTCTCTTTCTTTAGCTTTCTGAAAGCAATAAAAGGAAAGTGACAGCTATACCCTTTGAAAAAGTCAACTAGTTGAAAAATCAGGAGACATAGCTTTAAAAGTATGTTTTATGACTCTTCAAATGACTGTCTTTCATATAGCAGTTTGGGTATATGAATTTAAAAAGTTCTTACATGACAGCTGTTAGCCTTTTTTTTTTTCTCAGAAACTAAACATAAGGTAATATAATAAAGATTTCCCAGACCAAAGCCCTTAAGCTAAGTTACAGAGCATCATCTTGGAGCAAAGTTCCTATCTAACAGTGCTCTCTCTACTTCCTCAGCCAGCTTGGGGAAGAGGGTGGCCCTCAGCTGCTAGGGCTTTCTCTGTGTAATCTGTCACCAAGTCCCTGATCTCAGTTCACAAGTATTCTTCATTTGTGTCCTTACTACTCTATTTCATTACAGGTTGAGAATTTGTTATCGGAAACTCTTGGGACTAGAAGTGTTTCAGACTTTTTATTTTTTTGGCTTTTGGAATGTATGCATATATATAAAAAGAGATGTCAGGCAGAGGATATAGCTCAGTGGCACAGCGCCAGCCTGGCAAGCACAAGGTCCTAAGTTTGATTTCTGGTACCAAAAAAAAAAAAAAGTATCTTTGGGAACCAAACCCAAAACTAAAGATAAAATTCATTTATTTCACATTGCTCGAAGGTATTTTTTACAATATTTTTAGTTGCTGCCTTTTCACTCTATAACCTGTCATATGAGGTCCAGTATGGAATTTTCCACTTGTTTCTTCATGTGGGCTTTTAAAGAGTTTCGGGAGTTGAAGACTACTCTGGGCATCATTATTTCAGAATTAGGGTTGCTCAATCCCTATCTTCTCCTGCCTTAACCTCTTCATTAACACCTCTGCTTCCTCCGTTGTGACCAGGATCCTAGGCAAGCTCCTTCCGCCATCCTGTTTCTCTCACCTCTACTAAGGACAACAGCCACTGTGATGCCTTCCAAGTGCAACCTGGCTTTTTCCGCTGTTTCCACCACACAGTTCAGCTCCTTACCTCAGGGAGCAGAGCCTCAATACTCGGCTCTGACTTCACAGGGACACCCCACCTAGATCAGGCAAATGTTCTACCACTGAACACCCTCAGCCCCTCCAGCAAGGGTTTTAATGTTCTGACATCTCACACTGCTTCACAACTGCCGATGATACCCTCTCAGCCCATCATATGGTAACTCATAAATGTCCCGCGCAGCTGCACTGCAGGCTCTGCATTCCCAGGGAGCCCCATTCCCAGAAATGAGCCGTGCCAACGCACACAATGAACACAGAGGACTCACAGCTACCACTGCGCTGGTCACACTGACAAATCACCACTTTGGTGTCCTGACTCCCCTATGACCCAACACTCTCCTGAGGGTCAGGTCTGAAACTTACCTGGTATACAGGAGTTTAATAAAGGTTTACAGAATCAATGAGAAACACTAAAATCATCTGTCTTAAGCAAAGTCTGTTCTGAAAGAACCAGTTCAAAATGCCAACCATTTTATTATTCTGGCAGCATCTTACAGGAATTGGCCTGTGGTTCTTCAGGACAACAGAAGCTGAGAAAAACACCCACCTGTGGGATTGCTCCCAAGAGCTCCTCCACACTATTGTAGCCATATGTCTTGGGCTGCAGTGTTTCTCCAACATACTTGGTATAGGCCACAGAAAATTCATGAAGGAAAATCTGCTGGTAGTGGTAAGTATGAAGTAAAGACCGCACATTCTTTGCAAATAAATACAGACTTGTGAGCTTCACACACTCCTCCATCTTATCATTGGTAAAAACCTGGTCCAAAAGAAAAAACAGGATTAGAAACTTCATGAATGACTAACCCTGTTCCCTCAAGTGTGGCCTTCCAGCTGACAGGCAAAAGACCAGTCAGCCTAAAAATGGGCGATAACCTAAGGTGGAGGAGAAGGGGCAAGGGAGAGGCTCATTCCAGGGTCTCCTCCCAGGAAAGTCCAAAGCCTTGAACAGACTTCACTTGCAAGGCTAAAGTTGCAGAGTTTGGGAAGACAGAGTAAGTAGAGAAGAAAACTAGGGAAGCTATGATCTTAAATCAAGAAGGCAATAAAGCAGAGAGGCTAACCTTGATGGAAAGGGCTGCTTGGACAGCAGGACTAAGGCCACTACACCCTGTCTGCCAAACTAGCTTATTCATTTATTTATTTTTGCAGTACTTGATGATTGAACCCAGGACCTTCAAACTGAGCTACATCCCCAATCCTTTTTATTTTTTAAGACAGGATCTTGCTTTGTTGCTTAAGTTGGATTTGAACCTGTGATCCTTCTGCCTCAGCCTCCCGGAGTGCTGGGATTATAGGCTTGTATCACAAGTTCCTAAACTAGTTTTCCAAGAAACACTATGACACAAGAAGACATTAGCATCCTTTGAAAACAGAGACAACAAAACACACACAAAAAACTTTTATGCCTTTGAGTTAATGTGCATTTTGGGTTTTTTTTTTTAAACCATAAACCTTTTCAGAGTCTTTTAATATGCCCTGGAATCTCCAAGAGGAGGGCTATTTCCTAACCTTTGCTGGTCATTTAAAGTTAAGTCCTACAACATCAATTAGCATTATCCAGAACTAGAATTCACACAATACAAAATTAACAGTTTAGAAAATGTTGGCCTTGCTATCTTAAACATATCTATCACAGTTATATAAAAATGGTTTATCATTCTTTTATGTTGCTGGTTTATCATTCTTTTATATTGCTGGATTTTATGTTAATATCTTAGCATTTTTTTTAAAAAGGCTAGATTAGGTTTACGGTATTAAAGTTATTTTGGTACCATAAAAGTGAACTTTTTTCTTTTAGTAACTTGAATTACTTTTTCTTTTAGGGTTAGTTGAAATCTCAACTGTTAACCCACTTGGTCCTGGTCCTTATTTAGTGTCAAAAATTCAATTACCTTTATAGACTCTGTTGTGATAACTGGTCTAGTTTTAACTTTCTTGGGTCATCTTTGATAACTTATTCTTTTAGGAACTCATTTTCTCTAGGTTTTTATATTTGCTGCCCCAAGACTGGACTTAAACTCTCTCTCAATTCTTCCTACCTTGAAATTGTTCTTTAAAGGCAACCAGCCAGGAGACCTTCCTTTCTAAACCTTATCTCCACTGCTGAGTCACCCAAAGTCACCATTCACACCATCTAATTCAGATATGCAACACCAACAGAATCCAGCCTGGAACAGGACAGAAAAACTCGACTCCAAGCATCAGGACATCAGGGCTTTTGTCTTGACTTTACCACCTATTCTGGCAGGGTTGCTTCATCTCTCTAGGCCTCAGTTTGTTCATCTAGAAAATGACTACTAGTCATGAAGATCTCTAGGATCCCTTCCAGCTCTACACGTTGGGCTAATCTGCACAAAGAGGTCATCGACAAATACCCCGTTCAACAGCTTTCAATATGATACAATTAACACACATACCTCAACTAAGTAAGGCAGACTCTTCAGAAGTTCGGTCAAGGTCATGAATCCATATTCACATGGGTTAAGAGGAGAACTGTGGGTAGTTTCATAATGTCTCTTGAGCTCATCCACAGAAAGATAGGTGGCTCCTTCCCAAGACATCAACAGAACCAGCAACTGGGCAGTGAGAGACCGCAGGGACTTCCGGTTGATCAGCTGAATCTGTTTGCCAGATTCTATATCAGCAACCTGGGAAACATGAGAATCTCAATTTTTCAGAACTCAGATGAGACAACCTAGATTCTACCCAAGTCAGCTCATTCATTTTGGTTAATGAGACCAAAGGAAGAAAAGAATTCTAATTTTTTTCTCTTGAATTGAAATAAAGTAAGTCTGTTCTGAACTTCTTTGGGATACCAGACCAATACTTTGGATGAGACAAGAGCAAAAACTGTTGGTCAATAACCAAAAACTTCCATCCATACCATCTCCTTTCTTAAGGCAATAATGGAGAAAAAAAATGCTATTGTTCTCTTTGTTTCTTTATTCATTCTTTCGTTCTACTGACCACTATGGCAAGGAGGCAGACTGGCCAGTGCTATCCATCAGCCTAAGCTCATGAATTAAGGATTGCTGTGCTCGAACGGGGAATGGGGATGAGGAAGCTATGCTGGGGAGTGCTAGAGGTTTCACTCTGACCACAAGCCAGGTTGCATTTTATAGTTGTATGGTTGCAATGAAAAAGTTCACATTTTCATTTTTATTATTTCAAATTCTCATGGGGATAAAAAGTTTAAGTGATTCAGTGCACTGGAAGGGAAACTGCAAAGCAGATACTAGCCACTATTTGGGGACCAATATCAAATACAGAACAAGCATTCAGAGACTGAGACCACCAGACCTTAGGAAGAGGGGTGCAGTCTGTGAACTGGGTGTTTCTTGGAACTGATGTGGGCAGAGCTTTAGGACACATGCTGCTTATGCACTAGGACACATGCTTCTTACATAAGTGAAACCAATATCTACTCTTACAGTTGGTTTTCCCCTCACCTGCCTTTCCTGCCATGACCAAAGGTCTCAATGCCTAGACACAAGACCTTGTCCTCTTTGGAGCTTTGAAGACTTAGAGGGAGTGAGGTGAGCAGCACTTGAGGAGCCATCCCAATACCAGTGCATCTTTGTCTAGCTCTGAGGCACACCCTGAGCCAAGTTAGGAGATTCCTCACCACTTAGCATAGTCATAGAATTATATTATTTCCTGCTGAGAGGGAGCTGAAACAACCAGCAGAGGCAAATCTAGGAATGTGTCATCTTCTTAGATACCTGCTTCCCTTCAAGGTAAGAAAACAGTGATACAAAAACCTGCTCCTTTGTTGCTACTCAGATCCATGTCTTGATTCTCAATGCTGATTCAACATTAACATCATCTAGGAAGCTTTTAGGGCCACTGCTCAGAGCACATTCAGACTGATTACATAAGAATCTCAGAGCCAGTTCATGAAGTCTGGGCTGCAGTTATTTCCCAAAAGCTGCCCAGGAGTTCCAGTGGGCAGCCAGGGTTGCCCTGGGGCCTCTCTAATCTTTGCCCACCTTTCCTGTGCACACCAAACTTCCCAACCATTTGACTTCACTCATCACCAGCATCTGGCTTAGAGTCTTCCTATTCACGTGATCTCACCACTCCCACTGCCCTGGCCATTAAATACTCAGGTGCTTAACCCCACACTGAAGCCTCTCGTCCCTCTGCTTTCATTTCCAGTGACAGACATTCACTTCCAAGGTCACACTCTGGATCCTGTCCTTACCTACTTCCAAAATAACTCACTCAAACCTCCCAAGTATTCCACATGCAAAGGACGTGTGGAAATAACGCTGGGATGGGAGACCAGAGGAGATTCACCTGCTCAACTCCTCTCAGCTTTCCTCAGCCTCACCACCAATGGTGCCTTCTATTTTCTCCCAAGTCACACGACTTCTTCCTTCCCTTTCCCCCCTTATCCATCCTGGCACTATGGGCCATTAATGCATTAATGTTCTCGTCAAACTCCTTTCTGCCTGTGCCTTTTTGCTGCACTCATCTGGCTTCCCTGGGCATACACGGATGCAGTCGCACTCCAACTGCTTGTCTCTATCAGCCTCTATGTACCAACAGCCAGTGAGCTCACAGTGCTCTTGCACCATGACCTAAAGCCACACTCTCACTCGCCATGCAACTTCACACCTTCGCCACTATCTTCCATCCCAAGTCCTGTCCTCTCTCTAAGCAGTTGAACTATCTAATGTTCTACTCACTGGGAAAAAGAGCATCTTCTCCCTTATGACAAAAACCATCCTTACTTATATCAGCACCCTGCCTGTCACCCTTCCCTTGTCAAAATATTAAGAGTCATTCCTCCTCCTGCTCTACCTCCTGCCTCCTCAGGATACAACCCCATGAGCCTTTCTTCCTCTCAAGTGGATCCTTCTCAATGGCTTTCAAACATGCTCAAGTCTCCCCAACTATCTCTAGCTACGGCCCTCCCATTTTCCTCCTTCATGGCTAACTGCTAGAAAAGATGTGGAGACTTGTTGCTATTTTTCTCACCTCTCCTCACTCCTCAGCTGGCTCCAGGGTGGTTTTTGCCCCCAACCCCGACTGACACCACTGCCCTCACCAACAACACCAGCCATCCTCACCTGGCTAAATCCAAAGGTGAAGTTAGTCCCTATCTGATTTGTCTGCCAGTATCATGGGATGCTGCTGGCCACTTCTGTTCCTGCTGGCTTTGGGATGTCCATCTTCCAAGGGTGTTTCCTATTCAGCCACTCCCTCTTTGTCTCTCGTGAAGGCTTGACCTCACAGATTCTTTCAGACCTGTGACAGGGAAGTCACCACTTCATGACTCCCTTTCTATTTCTTTTCCTGGTAGTAACTTTTCCTGGTCCTATACTGCAGATGGCCTGAAAGCTGTCCAGTGGCTGGGGGCTGAGGCTCCCTGCAAGGGTACAGCACCGTGTGTTGCAAGAGTAGTGAAACAGGTGTGCTCTGGCCGAGCAGCTGAACAGAAGACATGCTACCTTCTGTGTTTCTTCTTCAGGCTGCTGAATCTCAAGGGAATCCACTAGTCTGAACTAGTGACAAGACACTGAGAATACACGCCCTGGGATGAAACATGACCTTATTCATTCAAAAATGCACTACTTTGGCAAAGTCATTAACAAACACAAAAAAAGAAGACCAAAAATTTAAAGTAACAAACCAAGTCATACCCTATTACCGGAAAAGGTATTAATGATACACAAAATGAGTGGTGAATGGCTATCTTCAAGAAAGCAAATATAGTAACAACAAGTGTTAGCAAGGTTACAAAGAAAAAGGAGCCCTTCTACATTGTTGATGGGAATGTAAACTACTACAACCACTACAGAAATCAGTTATGAAGATTCTTTAAAAAGCTGAAAACAGAAATTCCATTTGACCAAGCTACATATTTCCCCCAAAGAGTTGCAGTCATATTACAGTGATACATGCATAACCATGTTTATAGGTGCACCACTTTTAATAGCTAAATCTTGAAATGGCCCACATGCCCACCAAAGGATGGGTAGAAAAAGGTGGTATTTATGCGCAGTATAGTACTACTGTGCCATAAAGAACGATAAACTTGAGGCATTCTTAGATAAATGGATGCACCCTGAGACTATATTAGGTAGAATAAATCAGACACACAAGCTTAAATATCACATGGCTTCTCTTATGTGAGAAACCCAAAATATAAATTGAGAGCAAGATAAAGGATAGATAATATGAAGTGGGGAGATGTTTTTCAAATGGTAAGGGAATGAGAGATGGAGGGAGGGAGAAGTAAGGGGAGGAAAAGGGGATTGGGGAAAAAAAAAAAACAAGGAGAAAAAAAATTCCAAAATAGAGCTTTTGCAAATGGGAAGGGGACCAAAAGTCAGAAGAAGCAGTGAGGGATGGGATAGCTAGGGGCTGAAAAAATTTAAGATGTGTTATGTACATGTACCAACTCCCCATGATAAATGTAATAATTACATACTACAAATACATACCATTAAAAAAATTTTTTTTTTTTTTTGGTTTTTCTCCGGTACCGGGAACCGAACTCACGACCTTGCTTTTGCCAGGCAGGCGCTTTTGCCGCTGAGCTAAATCCCCAGCCCCCAAAAAAGTTTTTTTAAAGTGATATAAACATAGAAACGCTAAGGCATATGTGAACATCGCAATTAGGATTGTGCCCACAGGTTTGTCCATGAAAAAAGAAAGCTTGTTTACCTTTACAACATGACAGAGTTTCTGTGTCAGAGCTGAAACTGAACTGACATCATAGTCCTGGAGACGAAACGTGTAACCAAAAGTTTTAGCATATTCTGTAAGCAGATCTGCCATCATAAGGCAGTTATCTTTTTGGGATCGAAGAAGTTTAACAAACTGGGCAGCTAGAGCTTTGAACCGTTCAACCTCTGTCAAAGTAAGGATTTTTTCTTCTCCACATTCCAATACCTTGGAAAACACACAGGAAGGAGGAAAAAAAAAACTAACTGAACAAACTGTTCATGAAAGTAAATGTCATTAAAATGTATACAAAGAGTAACTATTTTTTTTTTTTTTTTGGTTTTTCTCTGGTACCGGGAACCGAACTCACGACCTTGCGCTTGCCAGGCAGGCGCTTTTGCCGCTGAGCTAAATCCCCAGCCCCACAAAGAGTAACTAAAATGCATGCTGGTGTTAATAGGTACAGAGGTTCAGTTTGGCAAGATGAAAGTTCTGCATGTTGGTTGCACAATAACATGAGTGTATTTACTGCTAAAATGTACACTGAGAAAGGATAAGGATGGTAAGTTCTGCTATGTGTATAAAAATAAAAAAACCTATGAAAGAAAAAGGGAAGGGAAAAAAATATACATATATACACACAAGATAGCTAAGATAACTGTACCACTAATTTCTATTGGTTTATTGAAAGGAAAAGTTAATATTTAATTGATCAATCTTACATGCCTATATCTGGTTATCTGAGTAACCAATTTGAAGATAACAATATGGAATACAACTACCATTATTAATTTCCTATCACCTTGTTTGAAATTCTATATTTCTATTGTTTTTGTGTTGTTGTGTTTATGTCTTTGTGTTTGTTAATTTGTTTTTGTTCTTTTCTCTTTAAAATTAAAAAAAAGTAAAAACTCTTACAAGCCTTTTAGGAGTCAAAGATAACACTAATAAAATCAACAACAGAAATCTGATTTTGCTTAGCAATAACTTAGTGATTCAGCATTGATACTACCTCATGTAGTCACTCTCACGTCCAACACAGGGATTTGAACAGTATGGAGCTAATGAAAGAATGTCCAATGTAATAAACTGAACTAATTAATTCTCTCAACAACTGCCTTAAGACAAGTCTGAAGAATAATTCCTTATTAGAAAAAAACTCCCACACTTAGCTAAAAATATTAATAAATCAACAACATAGCTTCTCTGACAAGACTTTTTCTGACTGTCATACTCTTTTATAACTCCCTACCTCCCAGGAAAACTGGCCCTCAAAATGAAAAAAAAAAAAAATTCTTTTTATACTATTTAGAAAACTACTTATAGAATGAGAATTTCTTTACTCACTTGTAAAATATCGGGTATGGCTTCAAAAAGTTCAAGTAGCTTGGTAAACCCATAGTATGCAAGTTTGCACTGCCGGCCAAAGTGGTGGTGATAAGAGGGAATAAACTTGTTAAAGGGCATCCGGAAGTGGGGTTGGTGACGTAACAAATCAACAACATCCTTGGAGAATTGTTTTGTCCTTTCTATCTCATCCTGAGTACGTTCTTTAAAAAAGAAACAAACCCAAACATCAATCGGTCTTTTCCTACCCATTTGTGTTAAACATCCACACTGCAGTAAGTCCAATTCCGAGTCTACAAGAGATCATCTTTGCTTTCCAAACATACACAGCCAAATCAAACACATGTACTCTTGTCAGCAAATGGCTCTAACATGTAGTCCAGGGCAAAACACTGGGAAATCATACTATTATAGCACACTGTGAAATAAATAAGTAATCTTTCAAGCTAGGAATAATATTTTTTCTGACCATCACCCCCACACATATGAACATGACATACACAGATCTATGTATTTAAAAAATAATCTGAGCTGGGCCTAGAAGCACAACTGTAATCCTAGTACTCTGAGAGGCTGAGGAAGGAGAATCTCAAGTTCAAAGTCAGCCTGGGCAACACACCAACTGAATGACACTGCCTCGAAATAAAAAATAAAAATGGGCTAGACATGTACTGCAGTGTAGAGGCCCTGGGTTCAATCCCTAGTACTAAAAAATAAAATGAATGTGTAGGTGGAGACCAACACATTGTGGGCAACACACTGTGTTTTCCCAAAAGTAACATTTACCTGGAAAACAAGTTCTAGCATAATTTTAGAAGAGACATTCCCTGAAAATAAGCCTTATTTCTAGGAGGCATTTTAAAAGTGCTAAATATACCTTTTTCCCTTTCGAGTGAATTCTAAAAAAACTAGCCATGCCCAGTGGCACATACTTGTAATCCCTGCTATTTGGGAGACTGACGCAGGAGAATCTCAAGTCTGAGGCCAGTTTGGGTAACTTGGTAAGACTCTATGCATCCTCTAAAATACTACATTTTAAAATAATAACCACTAAGCCCAGTGTAATGCCATGTGTCTGTAGACCCAGCTCTTGGGAAGATGGGACAGAAGGATTACTTGAACTCAGGAATTTGCCATCGGCCTGTGCAACACAGTGAGACCCCATCTCAAAAATAAATAACCACTGAGACAGACATTCTCCAGGGAAGTAAGCTGTGTACCTCTTTTGGGGATACAAATCACCATGTCCTTATCTTGTTGGGACAAGCAGATGGTTGCGTCTGGAATCTCTGATACGATATCAATCAACTCGCACACACCGTACTCAGTGACATCCCAGTCCTTTGAGAAACACCTAGGTTTTCACATCAGAAATGGGTAAAGAGTAAAATCATTGTTAACAAGTTTTCCAAAAGAGTATTTAACAGAAAATGAGATAACTGTTTAAAATTTAGGGGACTAGAAAGTGTTTTAAAATACTTGCTTTCACTTTTTTAATTTCTCATCAACTCACCAGTGATAAGCCTGTGAGAATTCTCTCACAATGACCTGCTTGCTAGCCTGGGATTTGAGAAGTTTTAGTAAATCCTGAGTAAAGCGCTTCACCTGGGCTCTGTGAGTGAGGGTCAGCAGACGTTTGGAGCCCATGCCAAGAATCTGCGAAACAAACATGCTGATTACTTATCCTCCAAGATCTCAGGAGAAATGGACTTTCTTGTGCACTTACATACACATGCTTGCTCGCTCACTTGTTCTCACCCTCACCCTTGCCACCCATCTCTGGTCACCACTCTCACAGGGTAATTTCTACAGAGGTCAGAAAGAACAACTGTCTACCAGGTGTGGTGGTACACATCTGTAATCTCAGTACTTGGAAGGCTGAGGCCAGAGGATTCTGAGTTTGAGTTTGTAACAGAAGACAAATCTGGCCGACTGACTGGGGCTTTATTTGCGGGGGGAGTGGTTCTGCACATCCTCTCATAGTAAAAAGTATAAAAATAACAATATGCAATATATAATAACCACAGTTAATTCCTATCATCTTGTTTTGAAATTCTGTATCATTTTTATTGTTTTTCATTGGCTTTTTCTTTTTAATAAAAAACAATTAAAATAATCAAATTATTAAAATAATTAAAAGAAAATTTTAAAAAGCTGATACTACACTCCTACCCAATAACTAGTCTCCAACTCACTTAGAAGAAAGGTTAAGCCCTTGCCTCTCCCACAGCCACCAAAATATGAGCACAGCAATGTTCACAGCAGCTCCCTTGTAATAATCAACAATTCTGGACAGAGCTTTACTCTGAGGAGGAAGGAGTCAGGCCTTAGAGATTAGAGGGAAAATACTCTGCAGTCCTCAAAAGAGTGCCGTTAGGTTGGAAATCTGTAGCTTCCTGGAAAACTGAGGTGCCATCTTGTATGTTTTCAGCACTTTGAAGAAAGCATTTACAGGATGTTTTACTCAGAAATGGTTTCTTAAGAATTACATTACTATCTGATATACAATGTTTTTGGCTGGGACAAAGTGATGGAGAAACACTCCTGACTTTAAATAAATAATTCCTTGGCATTTTTTACCTGCAACACATGAGGCACTGCTTCTAATAATTCAATCAGCTTGGAATATCCATAGTCTGAAACTCGGCACTGCTTTGCAAAATGGTGGTGGTAGGCTGGGATGAAATTACTCATTGGTATGACACAAGACGGTTGGTTCTTCAGTAAGTCAATCACTTCTCTACTGAACTGGATCAGCTGGGGGTTACCTACAGGACTTTTGGAGCGCAGTAGCCAAGAGTCTAGAGAAAGAAAGAACATGTGTAAGACACAAGCACAATCTCATCAGCTGAAAGGGAAGTAATTCGGTCATTCCCAGCTACCAAGTTCAATTATGAGCAAGTAGGAGACTTAGCTTCTATACTGAGGTCTCAAATAATCAACTGGGCTGGGGATATAGCTCAGTGGCACAGTGCCTGCCCAGTAAATGCAAGGTCATGAGTTTGATCCCTGGTACCGGAAAAACAAAAACAAAAACAAAAAAAATCAATCCAATAATCAACTGGCTACTCCAACTTATCTATGGATTGGCAAATCTCCCCACTATTCGCAATGTTAAGGCAAGGTAAAACACAGTTCATTGTAGTGCTACTTTTAATAGTGAAAACACACAGGAATTTTCCAGTCCACCTCTGGCTGTACTTCAAAAGATCCATTTGCAACTTGTGCATGAGGAACGTACTTTCAAACAGGACAAAATTACATATGGTCATTATATATGGTCATTGGCTAGGAGGTCCAGAAGGAGGTTAACTGAGGCATGGAGCTGAGCACGTTACCCAGAAAACAAAGGAGACCAGTAATGTTATAAAATTACTATGACTAAAACTGAGTAAGACAGGTTTTGTATTATCTCAATGCTCACGCTCAACAGTCATTTTTAAAAAATAATAATCAGATGAAAACCTTTATAAAAAGATGGAAGGGGTTTGTGAACTCATGGCTCAAAAGAGAGGAGAGATAGGATAATCCATGGGTCAGTCCCCTAAGACTGAAGGGAAAGAAAGGAGAGGTTCAGTTGCAAACTTTGGTACAAACATTTCGCCTCCAAGCACCCTGACTTGGCATAACATCCTGATTATCCTTATCTTTTTTCTGTGGAAGGAAACAGGACACATTGGGATCAAAGAGAAGAAATATGTATGTACATATGTATGTGTGTACATACGTATGTGTATATATGAAGGTAACAATTTAAAGTGCTGTTCACAGATAGCAGCATCAGACATCAGCAACTCAGGGCACACCCATCACTGGCTAGTGGTGTGGCTCTTCCCAGTCCTGCAGGAGCTCAAGACTAAATCCTCGACACCTACCTGTGTTGGGAGGTGGGGGCTTGTCGTGAATCCACTTCACCACTTTGACGCCATTCTGAGCAGTGGCAATGTTCACATCTGGAATGCAGGTGATGAAGTGTTCTAAGGGGACACCCCCTTGGTTTTCCTGCACTAACTCTAGGTCACCAAACTCTGCAGCATAGCAATCGGGAAAGCTGAAGTGTAAAAAACAAAGGTTAAAATAATGGAAATATAAGCACCCACTGAACAGGAGGCTTTACTTCACTGTATCTATTAGTAAGTGCCTTCTGTTTAAATAACCACAATCTGGGTTTGAATGTTAAAATTGAGGTCCCAGGGAATCAACCGCTGTAGCACTGACCTCTCTGATGCATTCTAATGGTACTAGAAATTCTTGGGCAGTTTTCCAGAAGGCTTAAATAGAAGGGAGGGGCTGGGGATTTAGCTCAGGGGCACAGCGCCTGCCTGGCAAGCGCAAGACACTGTGAGTTCTGATTCCTGGTATGGTTGCGGGGGAGAAGGGAGCAGGGTTCCAGGTCAGTGATTCATCTGACCCGGGGCAATGGGGCAATGAGGCAACTTTGTCCTGTGCTGGTCTTTGTATTAAGTCTAGATTCCTGAAAAGTCTTAAAATGTGCAAGTAGTTGAGGTTCTGCACATTCCCTGGGACCTATCAGATTTCTATTACAGCAACTAGAAGATACCTCTTTCCTGTGGAGAAGGAAAGGCTCCTTCTCATGTCCTGCTCATGTTTATTTGTATAATTTAACACAATCATAATTTTCCTGATGAAATATTGAGCAAATACATCCCATTTCAGAATCCCTCCAACTTCAAGGCTAGCACATTAGAATGAAGCACTCCTCAACCTGTGGTATAGTGAGTGAGCAAACTTTCTGTAAAAAGGAGAACTAGAGCTTTACACTGAGGAAGGCCCTGACATGGTTCACCTTAATAAAGGCACGGTGCCCTCATGGGTCTGGAGGAGAGTGTGAACCTGGGGTACAAATGTCTTCAAACAAAGAATCACAAAAGGAATCTTGTAAGAATCTGGATCAAATTCATGTTCACTGCAGAAAAAAAGAAGAAAACAGCCAATATTGCTCAGGGGTCTAAAATGTTCACAGCATAATTAATTTGAACAGATATCCCATAATCTTATTCTACAATCTTCTAAGATTATATCTTAGGGAAAAGAATGACACACCTGAAATCCTTATGAGAACAATGTTGTCTGCAAACAGGCTCATGATACTCTAATTCTTCAAATATAATTGGGCTGCAATTTGTGGATGAGCTGTCATGTGACTGGGAAGACCCCAGGGGGCTCTGGCGGGCCTGACTACTGGGTAAGAGACACACCAGTCGCCCATTTCCTTGTTCACGGATTGTGACTGTGTCTGTTAATTTATATAAATCTGACACATTCAACTTGTGTCCAAACCTAAAAAACAAAGAGAAATGGAGATGTGACTCAGAGAATGTTTTCCTTTGATATACAAGAACACCTACCATGTTTAAATATTTCAGTCAAAACCCAGAATGCTTCCTCCATCTCTTTAAAAGTAACACTAGACTGGTCTGTGAATTCATTCACTTCCAAGCCAGGGATGCCCAGCACTCCTTGAAGTCATCCCTAGCCAAGTGCCCAGTATAGTGACCACATCATTTGAGAGCATCTCCCCTACACCTGCCCAGGTTCTGTAAAATGCCCTCACTTAAGTTTCTGAGATGGAAAGCTATCTGACACGACCACTCAAAACCTGGCTCCCCTTCACTCTCACACCTCTGTATTACCTCTCACCATACTGCTCTCTGCCCTCAGAAGTACACTCCTTTCCAGGGCTCTCTTGTTTCCTATGCCTCAGCGGCATGACCACACATCCTCTGCGAGTGAACAACTCCATCACACCTGACTTGGATCTTTTACGCTTGGGAGACTAAAGGCCCAGGCTCCAGAGGCAGACAGAGTAGAATTCATATCCTGATTCAATTTCAACCTGTGTGACCTCGATCAAGACACACAATCCCATCTGGACCTCAGTTTTTTGCCATCTGTGAAATGGGGTGATGATAATGCGTATCTCACAGGGCTGCATGAGGATTAAATGTGATTAAGCACGGACAAAGTTGGCTTATGGTAGGTGCCTAACAACATTACCTGCTCTTCCTGCCTGTCCCAGCACCCTATATCCACACCCAAATTTTCCCAGACGCCCATTATCTCCCACCCAGGGAAACATGCATTCTCCTTGGTGCTCTCATGCTCTTGAATGAGAACACTCAGCCTCTCTGGAGAGGCATCTGTTTCACCCAACAGCTCTGTGGTCACCAGCGGCCTCCACTGCTTACCAAGAGATCCAATCCTAAACCTCACAGTGTGTCCTTGAATCCCACCACTCTGTAATTCCCACATCTGACTTACTCTCTTCTACACATCCCTCTTACAAATTCCTCACTTCTTGGATCTCCCCTGCCTCTCTAGCCCTGGAGCTCTCCCATCCAGTTCCGCCCTTCTTCAGTTCTCCTCCCATTTCCTTTGATCTCATGTGCTTCCACCCTGACTACCTCTAGGGAAATAGCTGTCCCAATTTTGGGGCACTGAGTACTCTCCTGAGGGAGCCTCCAAATGCACAAAAGGGTTGTAGAACTCTATCTGGCTACTTTAGTGGATCCCTGGAATTCGTATGTCCAAAACCAAGAATACTCATTGTATTCTCTAATTATACATGTCCCCCTATTTCCAGTTTAACTACCCCAACATCACCCCAGTCATCCATGGGGAAGGGGAGGCAAAAAACGACTCTACTTTTCACATTGCTTCTTAACACTGCAGTTACCCACTCTTGCTTCACTCACACCTGAAGTTTTTGTGGCTTCCAGTTTCTTCTATTCCCAAAGCATCTGCTCAGAGCTGGGCCTGAGCAGCATCGCCCTTTTTCTCTCACCTTCCCTCTGTTTCTTCCACCTCAGATACTACTGCCACCAGGAGAGTCTTCCTGAAGCATGGTCTTGTCACCGTACCTGTCCCCTCCCTGCCCTCCTCCATTATTTCAATGTCTCCCCATTACCCATGCAGTAATAGTCAGGTCCTTGTTTTTTCCCTCCTGTACTACCATGGTTTTGTGTATGGAAGTCACCAATAAATACTGACAGGATCAATGAAACAAAAAAATCTAACTTACTTTTTTTCATAGATATCTGTAAATTTAAAAAGAGGCAAACAACAGGCAGGAGCATCCTGAAGAACAGACATTGTTTCTGCACTGTAAGAGAAATGTTTTAACTAATTAGAGAACAGACTATTCCTCTACATTCCAGTGACTTTTACACAACTCATAAAGCTAACCCGATATTTCTGCAAAGTAGATCTGCCAGTTTCTGGTATGTTAGAATTTGCTTTCTAGGAAAATTTAAAAGGATTTTAAAAAACAAGCCACTGAAAGACTAAGTCACACACTAGCATTTTTATCAGACTCAATCATAGGGCTTTCCACACCCACAGGGCACAATGGTACTGACTATGCACAGTAGGACAAACACGATGTTAAAGCACAGCCACTGGTGACCACAGAGCTGTTAAAGAAGAGCTTAAAGTATCTCCAGCCACAGTGAAATTTAAGTGTTACACATACGGAATTGGAATTCTCATATATGTGACTGGATGCATGAATATAATTTCAACTAATATTACATTATATTCAACTATAAGATAATATAATTTCAACTACTATTTTAAAAGTCAAAAGGTAAGAAAAACATTGTTCCAAGGGAAATTAAAAAAACCCAAAATCCAGAACGAAATGCCCATACTGCTAAGTGTGACTGGCTATGGACCACAGAACTATGGATTACTTTTTTCACCCTGCTGCTTCTGTTTCTGAAATTTCCAAATTTTCTTCAGTGAAAATTATTCTTACTCTAAAGGTGAAAAAAGCAACTTAAAGTAATGGTGAAGGACAAATTTGCAGAAAAGACTCCTGACTGTTCAAACATACATTCAAGACTGAATCTTGTCTTATTAGTTACCCTCAAAACAAGGAAAAACGAAGAAGAATCAAATATTATGAAAAAGTCACAAGACTCCCAAGATTGATACAATGTAGACTTATGGGGCTTGAAGTCTATTTGACATTAAGGATATAACTGCAAATTGAGAATTTGCAGCTTCGTAGATCTAGTCTTTACAGACAAATCCGCCTCTACCATGATTTGAAGAGCGTATTTTAGACATTTCAGGCTGATAAGCTTTTCAGGTGGAGGTGTACTATTTTTAGAACTCGTTCTGAATATATGCACACTATTTTATTCCCAAAAGCTTGTGAAGTTTAAGTTGCACTTCATCTATAGTTAATGATCTGAATAAGAGTCAAATGCTCCTTTTTAACTATATCAAATGAAAATAAGCATTATTGCATATGTAATTATCAGGAGAATTGGAAATGTGATAAAATCTCTTTTTATTATTTCTTAAGCTATTTCTGAGTCAAATGTTATCTCCTGAAATAAATGGCTGGATGTTTTGTTTTGTTTTACCTCAGTAAAGAGAGTGATTTATTAGCAGCTCCTGTGGCAAGTGAGACCAGGATCTTCTTGTTGCCAATTTTATATCTGTGCAGGTTATTCACTGCACCAATTGCTTCTTGTAAGTTTTCCATCTGAACAGTGGCTTTGAGCTGATAATCTGTATGGGGGCTGAGCTCAACACTCTTCACCTATAACAACAAAAAAAGAAGAACAATGCTATATCTACTCAGAACCATCATTTTAAAACTGAACGTGAATTATTAAAGGTCACACTTGTGTACTTCAGCTTCTGTTAGAGGGAACCTGTTCGAAATGCTGCACTTCTGCCAGACAGACTGTGTGTATCTGGCACGGGCTGACCTTTGGGGACACGACCCAGCCTGGTCCACCTGTGTGCTCAGGCACACACGGCTGAGGCAGACTCAGAGGCCAATGCACAGGAGAAGTTTTTAACCTCCTCTCTAGACCCTGCAAAACTCTCGGTTTTAAAAGGCCAACAATTAGCAAACTGTACCTAAAATACTGAGTAAGATACAACAGGAAGTAAAGAAAAACAGCCAGCATTATTTTAGAACCCTACTTCTGTATTTTGGCAGGCAAAGCTAACTAAAACCCATCAATGTTTCATTTCCCAAAGGGCCATTTTAACCCCTGAAAATGACAAATCCTTCTTGGGGAGTTTCTTGCTCTCTGGGCCTGAATCCTACAAACTGGTGACACAGCACTACCCCAAGAAGACATGAGGAAAACAACAGCATCAACCCCATCCAGTTGTATTTATATACTGGTCGTGATTATATGTGTCAAGTTAATTTCTCCTGACTTGAAAGTCTACCAATGGGTAAAAACCAACAAGAACACAAGTGAGAGGGTTACCTTGCCATGCCTGGAAAATGCCTCCTGGATGAGCTGCTGCAGCTCCTTCCGGGACAGTCTGTAGTCTACGTTGCTGACCTGGATGTCAGCACCATTTGCAAAGGGGTCCAAGGAGCTGGCTCCACTGCTGGAACTGGCAAGGTTGAAAGCAAGTGGAGATGCTCTATTTGAAAGGCTTGGAGACAAACTCCTGCTGAAAACACATGCATTGAGGTCATTCTTAAAACCGTTCTGTTATTCTGGCTTTGTCTGAAACTACACAGAAAAAACTTCCCTGTTTGGTTTTCTCTTCTTTTTTTTGAGATAGGGTCTCACTATATCAACCAGGCTGACCTTAACTTTGTGATGATCCTCCAGCCTCCTCCCCTCAAGTGTTGGGATTACAAGTGTGCACCACCATGCCTGGCCACTATTTGGTTTTCAAATGTACTTTCATCTTAAATATGCACTGATTAAATACTAAAGTACTGGTGATCTCCATTAAATAGCAAACGAATTATTCAATACCAAATATTCTTTCACTGGTTTATTTAAAGCTAAAGGCAGAAATCATAGGCAGCCTTTATGAACTGACTTTCTATTTAGGAAATCTGTGTTATAAATTTTAGCCATTGCACCTCCTCTGTGGCTCTATAAAGCTCAGTCTTCTGGCTCACATACTGCATCTTCTGCACAGAAGAACCCTTTTGTGTGAATTTTTAGATGTAATTATACAGGTCCACAGTCACTCTCTATTGTGATTCTTCACCAACTCTGCAGAACAAATGTAATGGGAACCAAGGGAGCACAAGTTGCTTTTATGGCTTCCCATTTCCCAAGCCTCAAGAATTACCTGGTGTGAGTTTACACATTTACAGTGGTCTACAGAGAACCTTACTTTGAAAACAGAACTTCCTATAAAGTGCCATATTAATAAGAATAAGCAATGTATGCCCTGTGTGGGCTTTTTCCACAACAAGTTACATGTAAATACATTTTAAAATGCCTGCCATCACTGGCCAGGGACTCTAAGACAGGTTTTTTCTCTGACCTCTGCTTACCAAGAGATCCAAGTGGAGAAGGGAGAAATAGTGAGAAGCACTACCCCTAAATGTCAGCTATGATAACCTGAGGAAAAGAGAGTGAGGAGATGGGGAGGAAGGTTTATCTTTTTGCAAACTTCTGTACTGTTTAAAGTCTTCTTAATAAACACAGGTCTTCCTATTACACGTAATCACCTCTACAGGTCAAGAATCTGGACTTACCTAGGAGACCAAGACTGGGATGTGAGCAGAGGACTGACTTGCCTTGATGCAATCAACTTGCTAAAAGCAGACGGGTAACTCACTTGGAAGACGGTCTCTTCTTTGTTTTGTTTCTCTATAGGAGAACTGGTAATACTTCGGGAACTGGGAGTCTCTTTTCTAACAGAAGGAAAAAATTGGAAGGGAAAAGGTCACATGCCTTCGTTGACAGCCATTAAAGCAGAAACTAGGAGAGAGTAATTTAACATACTTCTGGGTGCTTTTGTAAAGCAACTCTGCCATCCCCGAATTTTTAGGTGTCTGCCCTGTAGTGCTTGGGTTACTGTGAGGAGGTGGTGCCAGCCTCGCATTACTGTGCTGGTGCTCACTGTTACGATGACCAGTCTTTGACTCCATGTGGCACAGCTCCTTAGAAGACACAAGTGCAAGGAATTTCAAATTTAAGTACCCAACATGAGTTAAATACTATATAGAAAATAAATGACTTTTACTACAATATTACCAAAAACAGAAATGATAAAAAAGTACACACCAAAAGCCATACAGCATGGAAACAAAGAAATTAAATCTACCACATACTTTAGAAAGGAAGAGGTATCAAAATTACCTGTAAACTCTTAACATTTGTATTTTTTGTAGCAGAACCAGAATTTGCCTGTGACCCCTTTCCAGGCACGGGTTTGGCACTGGAAGATTGTTCACTTGCATCTTTGATGAGGCACAATTTTGTATTTTTAAGTTTTTTGGGAGATTTCACTTTATCAGCAATTGTATTTGAACTCTTTGCTTCACAGAGTTCTCTATTTTTTGGAGTAAAGGACACAATGATCCTATTACCGAAGACATCTTCATTTTCCATTCGCTTCTGAGCCCGTTCTGCACTATCTTGGTTTATGAAGCGGAGAATTGCACTGCAGCCTGTGATACTCAGCACTTTTCCACCACAATTATCAGATAGTCGCCTGAGCCTGTTGCTGATGCTTTTGCCATCTTTATTTGCTGGTAGGTTATAAACATACAACAGAGTGTGGCACTGCTGATACAAAGGAAAAAAGTGTTACATTAGGTTAACTCAAGGGCATACAATTTCAAAACACGGGAGGTGATTGAGTTGGGAGAAGATAAACTTATTTAGTGTTCACAAGATAACTGAATGCTGTTGTAAAAAATATGATGGGCATAGAAAGCTATATACTGGGGCTGGGGATTTAGCTCAGCAGCAAAAGCGCCTGCCTGGCAAGTGCAAGGTCGTGAGTTCGGTTCCCGGTACCGGAGAAAAACCAAAAAAAAAAAAAAAACAAAAAAAAAGAAAGCTATATACTGCATAATTTCATTTGTAGAAAATGTCCTGGGAAGGCAAATTTGCAGATACAGATTAGTAGCTACCTGCAGGTGGAAATGGAGATTAAGTGTAGACTAACATAAGAGATCCTACTGAAATGACGGATATATGCTAAAACCGGCTACACAATCAGGTAAACTTAAAAAAAAAAAAAAATCACTGAATTATACACTTAAAAGTAGTAGATTTTGTGCAAAGTAAATTATAACTCAACAAAGTTTTTACAAGTCTGTTTTATTTATTTAGCAGGGCTCTAGAATAATACTGGATATAATTCAAGTCTCACTACAACACCAGGTAACCTGTAGTTAGCCTAGAAGTTGTATTAGGAACTGGGTGGCCATACCCCTTCCAGATGAATTCAAATTTGAATACTGAGAAACAGAACCATTAAAGTGCAGGAAGAAAACTTAAAATACTCATGATAAAGGTTAAATCCAGAAGCCAGGCTGGGGATTTAGCTCAGCAGCACAGCGCCTAGCTGGCAAGCACAAGGTCGTAAGTTCGATTCCCAGTACCAGACAAATAAATAAATAAATAAATGAAATAAATCCAGAAGCCAAAAAAGGAATCACTAACAGAGGGCAAAAGATGTGAACAATTTATAAGAAAAGTATCAAGGGACAACAATTAATATTAAAAGGATAGCTTGCACCTTGCTAATGATGAATAAAAAGGCCAACCAGATAGTATTCTGCACCTATCAGACTTGCAAATATTTTAAACAGACATTAGGAATCATTATTAAGACTCTAAATCAGTGTAACCGGCCTAGAGAACCTAGGGCTTGCCAATAGCGTTCTGACCCAGAACTGCTACAGCCTGTATACACTAAGCAGTAAACTCTCAGTCTAGGAGCTCAAAGAGAACATGGATAAGCTTGCTGGAGACGGTAAAAAATGGGGGGTACACAAAATGTTCAATAATGGGTAGACTGGTTAAATACAAGTATGGCTGCAAGTCAACACTATGGTTTTCATTATTTTTGTGTGTGTGCAGTACTGGGGATTGAACTTAGGGCCTTCCATTTTTTATTTGGAGACAGGGTCTTGCCAAGTCACTAAGCTACCACATCTAGGCTTGAACTTGCCCAGTTTCCCAGTGCTGTGGTACAGCCATGCACCTCTGTGTCTGGTTTAACATTCTGTTTGTTTTTTTTCCATTAATTAATTTTTTTCATTCTGGATTTTAAAATGTGCTATACTTGTGCAAATATATATCCTTGCATGAAAAGATAAGCAAGTTTTGATAGGTTAAAAAAAGGCCACAGAATATATGTAAAATTGCTTTTTCTTTAATTTATAATCATAAAATTCAGAGGATAATACCAAACTGGTAACAGTGCTTACCTCTGCAGGGTGGGATTGTGGGATTTTCATCTTTCCCACTTTTGTATTTAGTTTTTCATTTGTTTTCCAATAAACATTATTTTTCTAATCAGAGGTTTTCCTTTGTATAAGGGTACTAACCAACAAAATCTATACTCTTCTATAGCACCTCAGATTCAAAACCCAGGCTGAATATATATTTAATTTATTCAAGGGAAAGAACAAAAAACCAAAAATACGTGTCAAGCTATCCCTCTAGTGAATGAGAAAAAAACATCTGGTAAGAATAAATGGTTTAGCTGACCAGGGTTTTGCTTTTGTTTTAAATACATTTGACTTAATGGCCTTCAAAGATAAAAAAGTTAGTACAAATCAGAAGCGAAAGGGAGTAAATGTAGCTCTAGCCACAAGACTAAAAACAATGAGTAATGACAAAGATGAATTAGGAAAGAGGCTCAACAGAGGTGTATGCTACTCATTTGGTAAGACTCTGGTATCTCCGACTGAACTATCTATATAATTCAAGTCCAAACCCTGGGCTTGCTTGGCAGTGGGACTAGCAGAGCAAGTGACTGACCTGGAAGACCTGGGGCCCAGCCTCTGTGCTGCTGTACCCAGCGATAACTTACTTTTTCTAAGCACCGACTTCTTCCTCCTTTAAATGAGGATGTTAGGTAATTTCTAAGGTACATCTGTAATTCTAAAGGTATTAGATTAAACTGTATTTAATGTATGGCATTGTCTTTCTTGGATCATCTACACTGTGGCACCTCTTCACCATTACCACTATACTTTAAAAGTTATACACAGTTTCCAAATAGCATAAACATAGCGCAGCACTGCAAGAAACATTTTTGTCACAAATCAAGTCAAACTAAGTGTTCCTCCCTCCTGGAAATATGCTCATACTCTACTGGCACACAGCTTAATTCCTAATTGTGCTCTTTAGGAGCACAGACTCAAGAGGCCTATTGGAGCCTCAGGATTAAATGCTTCCAAAAAGCACAATTACCCTGTTGATATGCCAAACACATGAGTATATGTAAATTCACCAAATTCTCTATCTGTAATACTCGGAAGCCTAAAGAGTCAGCCAAATGAATAATGATTCTTATTCCATTATTTCCACCCATTTGCTATAAAACACTGATAGCTTTGGGGATAACAGGAAGTGACTATTGACAAGGTGTCAATTCCCTATGATACTTTTAAAAATAAAAGGAACATTCCTAAGTATTCATTCTCTATTTGTAGAAGAAACACTGAATGCTTCCAGGCCTAATTTCAAAATCCAACCAGCCTCCTATGAAGAGCTCTACCCGGATGTGTCAATTCCCTTATTAACAACTTTCAGCCTCTATAACACAACGCTGGAACACAGCAAAAACAATGTAAATACACTTACTGGCATTTTTAGTGGTAACCTGGGGGGCAAATCCGAAATGAATTCTTCAAATCTGATTAGCTCGTTAGCATGATGCAGCAGTGCTTCTGAGGCCTGGTTTTTATGGACCAAAATTATGTGGAAACCATGCCTGTGTCTCAGATCACTAAGTTCCAATGCAAAATTGACATCAGCTGAAAGAAAATATGCAAATCAACCCCATCTCCAAGCATTAGAAACACTTGACAGTTCCAGGGACACCGCCTGAGAAGGAATGGCTGGCTTGTATTCAAAATTGCTTTTCTCCCCTCACGTGAACAGAAATATTTTTCCTAGCAGATTTACATGGTAAGAAAATTTTACTACATACCTATGTGTAATTCCAAGATACACACTACTTCTAGTATTAACAGGGAGCAAACATACTCAGAAGACTCAATTTGGGAACTTACTCATATTGGGTTTTTAAAGTTAGTAATACTAGGTGGGTCCAGGGTGAAAAACTCCGAAACACCAAAATCACACTGTCTTTAATTTAAAACTACATTTCCTTTAATAAGAACTCAGGTCCAATGAGGAAGATACAAAAACTCACATAAGCTCAATGATTTCCCTAAATAATTCTCACCAATAAGCATCAGTATGTCCCATGTATGCGACTTCTTTAGGAGCTCACTTTGCTTTCATGTGTTTTAAATTTTATGACAACTTCTACACAGTGAGTTTAGCTGACATCAGATGTCACTTACTTGACACAAGAACCACAGTGGCTGGAGCAGTGTGAGTATTTGCAAACCTTCGTAGACTCTGTCGGAGTTTATCGTCAGCAGCATTCTTTGCAGTAGCGTTGATGTGAGCAACGGTCACCTGCATTAATTTATAAGAGAGAATGAGCAAAAGCTGATGTTAGAAAACTGCTACCCATTTTGCCTACATTTTAGTAAGCAATTCTTGAGAAAGGAAATTCTATAATTATTATTAAAAATGCAAAATAAAGTACAACTAGATCACAATGTTTTCAAACTTGGTTCTCCATATGAATCAACTGGGTATTACTACCCCACTTCTGTTTGAGTTTCTTTAACCCTCATTTCAGAAAGTAAGTAGAGCCAGGTGTGGTGGCACACACCTGTAAACTCAGCACTCAAGGGGCTGAGGCAAGAGGACTGTAAGTTGAAGGGTAGACTAAGCTACACAGTGAGTTCAATACCAGCCTGCGGAGACACTGTCTCAAAAAAAAAGTAGAGAAAAATGAAATCTAACGTTACCAGATTTTTCCAACAAACTAGTGATACTGGAAATCAGTTGTGCAATTAAGGGATGATTTGTGGTTGTACATTACATCATTCGTCTTTGCTATCTACTGTTTGTGGCTCCCAGGATCTAGGGTAGTGATGGCAAACCCACATGCTGCAGCAGCATGTTTTTAATCACTGCATGTTCTACAACATTCACCATCACTGATTTAGGGTTAAGTGGTGGACAGAAGAGGCAGTACACCCCAAAGGAAGCCAAAACACTTGATTCCTGTTAAAACTTACCAGTCTCACATATATAACCATCTCCAATGCGAAGATTTATTTTTAGAAGTACCTCAACCACATGTAATACACAATAGGATTGTTTTCATTCATGTAAATTGTTTTTACATACTCATATAATTTGAGACAGCAATATAGTGGCAACGGAATTACTTGTCTAAGAGTCAAAAGACCTACATTCTAGCTTCAGAGCATGGACTTCAAGGTCAGACTACCTGAATTTAAATCCTAGCCCTTTCACTTACTGGCCATGTGATCTTAAAAATGTTGGTTCCTTTATTAGGGTCTTAGTTTCACTGTACACTGCAAATAATAATTCCTACCTGCCTAGCTCACAAAGGAGTTATGACCAAAGGAGACAATACATGTGTTACCATTATGCCAGTATAACATGAAAGTGTAAGTACCATTATTGAAATATCAAACATAAATGACTTCTAGTACTTTAGGAATAATCTTTTGCTAATTTCTTTTATTTGAAAATTAAGCACCAATGCAATGAAGTCATTAAATCTGGAACTGGAATTCTTTAAAAAAACACACATGTGCTTATGCTGCTACCATAGATTAAATTCTTAAAAAAATTTTTTAACCTGGCAATTATTCAGTTCTTGAATAACTTCTTTGTTTTCTTTACTGATGTCACACACACAGATGAACTCTGCTTCTCTGTGGCCTTTAAAAAACTTTTCACGGATTCTTTGTACAACAGTAGTGGCTGACCGACCAGAGGGAACTGAGCAGTTTTCAATATCCCAAAAAACTCCAATAGGGGGTAGGTTTTCTAGCACCTGTCCAGCTAGTGCAACTTCCGGTGATCCTTAAGAAATTAAATGCAAAAAAAAAAAAAAAAAAAAAGGAAAAAAATTAAATGTAGTGAAAAAGATGACAAAACAGTAACAGGTAGGTAGCTAGTATTCTTAGTGGAGGAAAAACTAAATTATTGATGTTAAGGATACTCACTGATTGATCTAATATGTAACCAAATTGCCAAAATAGCATTCTAAGAGACTTTCCTATTTTTCAGGAGTGAACAAATCTACAGGTCAAGTGACTTCGTGCACATAATAAATGTATTCACAGCATGAGCCATTCTCATGCTGACCTGTGGTGCTTTTCTCTAACATGTAACCAATCAGATGCTGCTACTCCAGGACCTGATTTTCATGTTCAGCTCACGCTGTCTTTCTACTTGGTATGGAAGAACACTGAAGAGATGAACAAGATGAAGCTGTTACTGTTGATGACTTTAACACTTCATTAACATCTGATTACACATTAATAAATGTTTTCACAAGATAACTTATCACATTAAAAACTTCAGGGAAATGATTTTAATTGAGAACGCTTAGGTTTCCAAATACTATTTAGAGTCAACTACGTTTCTAAAGAGGACACATCAAGTGTGTTTATGAACCTAAGTTAATCCCTAGTTTACTCTCCAGCACTTGATTTTGGTTTACATTAAGAAGATTTTTACTAAGAGAAGGAGAGATTCACACATACCTGAGAGCTCACATACAGTTTTAGAACCACAAGGAATCTTTTAGAGGCAACTGAATGCAATATTAGTGTTGGCTATTGAAAACTACTTAAAAATGCACATTTTATGCCATACTGTCATTTACCAAATTTCGAAGCAGCTTTGCCTAGACTGGTCGCCAATAACAACGTGGTCTCCTTCCCTGTTCCTTTGGTTCCACAGCCATTACACAGAGGGATAGCAAGAGGTGCAGGTTGAGTATTTGGAGGTGGTATATTTGGCCAGACTTTAGTAGCATCAGTTATACTATTTCTTGCCGGCTGTTTTTAAAAAAGGTTTCAGATACATCATTCCAGAACCTGGAGTTACGTACAACACTGAAAACACATTCTTTTTTGTTTGTTGGTATGGGGAATCAAACTCACTACCCACTGTGCCACTGAGCTATATCCCCAGCACAAAAAACACATTCTAAGTTTTTCACCTTCCACATACTAACCTCTCATAAAATGTATTTTCAAATAATCTTCCAAGAACCATTGGCTATCAATTCATAACTTCAAGAAAGGATTTCAGATGATCAGGGCAGACACATGATTGGAACTTTACAGCCTGGAACACGTGCCTGCTATCACAGAGACCTTACGCAGGGTGGTGAAGTTTTCACTTCAACATGGGTATGACTGAGGTCAAATTTCAAGTTCCCCATATTACAGGAAGACAGTTTGGGGCTACTCACATTACACGAAACACACAACTGTTAAATCAGTTGTACACTTGCCTCTAAAGGTAAGACAAAACAGAGGCTTTGCCAAACTAAATTCACATATATATTCATTGTAACCAGAAGTTCTAAAAGCAAAATCTATATAATTATTATGTATTTTCTTGAATGGTTTCTACCCCTTGCTTCTTTCAGGATTAGCAGAAGTTATACCTATGAGGCAAGATTCACACCATAGAAGAACCCTCAATCCCATGTCCAACAAAGACTTTTCAAGACAAATCCACTTAAAGTCATTCCTCAAACCTCAGCTGCACCCAACATAAAAAAATAAAAAGATACACACCTTCTTTAGACAGTCTTCGCAGTAAAGTGAGCCCTTTAAACAAACCGGAGGTACCACATTTAGGTGCAAAGAGTTGGTGCACAAGTGAGGCGTTAGCTCCGACTGTGAAATGTGCTCTTCCAAATGCCCCGGAGCCCCACTTGTGAAATCAGAACAGGGGAAATAGCCAGCGGAGGTGCAGCCCTGGAGATTTGGAAACTGATGCAGCTTGTGTACATTACTGTGCCATGACTGGAAATGGAGTTTTCCACAACAGGGCAGGTGTTTGCAAGAAGATATATTACTCTCTAGACACATGCTGGGGAAGTCACTTGCAATGCCTGCCAAACTGTTTCTAGCTGAGGCATTCTGGAGCGACGATGCAGACTGGAAAGCAAACCCTGACCCTACCTGACATGTGACTGTCCTGGTGCTTTGTGAGTCTAAGCGTGCGCCTGGGTGAATCAAGCTACCAGTACCTCCACTACCGCCGCCACCACCACCAAAATGCAATGGTGAAGTGGACGGTTCATTAGGGCAATGAGCACAGCAGCTTACTTTGGGGACAGTTGAAAGCTGTATTTTAGGTTGCTGAAGAGAATGAATATCAGGCAATGGGACTGCTGGAAAAAGTTTAGAGCCAGCATGAAGGGGAGATGGTACATCCTTTAATTCCACAGCAATTTTCTTGTTCTCCATGTACTCTTTCTGAGAAAAGAAAATCAGAACACAGGTCAACTTTAAGAGGGCAGGGATTTTTGCTTTCTCATACACTACTGCATTAAAAAACAAACTTCAATTTTATTTACATCATTCCAAAAATGGAATAGCAGCTAGCTAAAATCAGGGGAATTCTTCAGAGAGATCTGCAGAAGTGGGCACAGAAATGCAAAACAGAAGTTAAGACTACATTCTTCCTGAATCTTACAAGAATGGGGCAGGGGGCTCTGTCTGCAACTTTAGCAAACCAGGTTAACCATCTGTACCTTAGTGATCTCCCTTTCATAATTTCCCCTTGGCTCACAGGATCTCTTAAAAGACAAAATGGGTAGTATGCGCTGGGCATGGTGGTGTACACCTGTAATACCAGCACTCTGGGAGGCTGAGGCAGGAAGACTGTAAGTTCTAGTTCAGCCTGGGCAACTTAGTGAGACTGTCTTTAAAAGAAAAGAAAAAGGGCTAGGGATGTAGCTCAGGCCCTGGGCTCAACCCTTAATATTACAAAAAAAAAAAAAAAAAAAAAGAAGTGGTAAGAAAACACAGTCACAAACAGCATTCAGATGGTTTCAGGCAAAGCAATTCACTTAATAGTTCCTGCAGTCAGCACATAAGGGGTTTTAAGAAGGCCTTCTAAAGAAGATTCTAAAAATTATTTTATTGATGAGATCACCTATCTACCCAAATGGCACAAGCACGATGCCAGTGCAACTTAGGAAATGCTAGAATATCATGACCTAAAACCATAATGACAACAATTATACTGCACCCAGTGCAAAGAATTAGAGTAATTAGAAAACTTTCTGGAAAGAGGTATAAAGTAGCTTGCTACACAAGTCTAACACAGGCACAGCAGGCGAATATGGCATAAAGATTTAAGATAAGCATGGCATTTGTATCAGAGATCTATGTCTGAACCTGATACTCCATAGTTATATGACATTGGGCAGTTACTCAACCTCTCTAAGCTTCAGCTTCCTTAGCCACAAATTAAGAATGAAATGTATCCCCTACAGTTTTTGAAGGATAAAATTAGATTGAGCATATAAATCACTTAGGACAGTACCTGGCCCCTAAAAGGGAATCTCACTAACCCTATATGGGCTGACTACAGAACCCTTAAGACACAGAGGAAGTCCTCATATGTTGACTGAGACATACTCATTCCTCAAAGCGTAAAAGTCCATCTGATTGTTACAATTTCATGCCTTTTGCGGTAATTCTACACGGGAAGAAGTCTGGATTTTCAGTTAAGATTTTTTTTTTAAAGGAGAAGTATTAGCAGTGGGCTGGCTAGGCAATGAGCAGTGTGTTTTATGCTATGGTCATTACACTTCAGACTGGAAATTCATATGCTCACATTCTGATTTACTCAGACCAGGTCTGTATGGGCAACTTTACTGCAACCTGGTCATCTGAACCTACTTCATTATGTTTCAAGATCTGTAAAGTTGGAGCCGGGTGTGGTGACACACGCCTATAATCCCAGCACTTGGGAGGCTGAGGCAGGAGGATCATTGCAAGTTTGAGACCAGCCTGAGCTACAAAGTGAGCTCAAGGCCAGCCTGAACTGCATAGTGAGACCCGTCTCAAAAAGACCAAAAAAAAAAAATCTGTAAAGTTGAGAGTCTAATTCTAAATTCAGTGACTCCATAAGGACCAAATTTACCATCCTACCCAAAGAAGCCCTGCCTGAGGTGCAAACCTTCCTTGTCAACTGTCCTTAAAATAAAACCCTTCTGAATTGGTCCAAATTATTTGATGCTTTGCAACAAAGACAACTATATAGCAAAAACCTATATAGTAAAAATCTAGAGAAAACAAAGTTAAATTTATTTTTTTTGAAGTCTCATTTGGATCCCAAGTACAATAGAAAACAGTAAGTGTTAACCTGAGTACATGAAACAGAAAATGTCAAATCAGGTATGGTAGCATTCCCAGGTACTTGGGAGGCTGAGGCGAGGGGATTGCAACTTCAAAGCCAACCTGGCAACTCAGAATCTTTCTCAAAATAAAATTTAAAAAGGATTGGGGATTTAGTTCAGTGCTAGAATGTTTGCCTACCATGCCAAGGCCCTAGGTTCCACCCCAAATACCAAATGTAAAAATTTTTCTGGAGAAAACGTCAAAATTAGTATGAAAAAATAAAGAAAGCAAGGGACTGGGTATATAGTTCAGTGGAACAACATACATTTAACAAGTACAACTCCCTGAGTTTGATCCCCAGTATCATATACACACGTACACAAGAACAAGAAATCAGATTTATTTAAACACTTAGAGAAATCTTGAACAAGAAAGATTATAAACAAGGTCTTGCCCATCTTTTCTAGTTTATAAGACCCACAACTAAAAAAGCTATAGTAACAATTTATTTTGCATTTTACTCTGATTTTACTACATCATCTTTGGAATTTGGGACCTACACAGGAAACAAAATAGTAACTTCCTAAAGTTTTAACATTAAATGTTTAAAACATGCACTGTCACTCACAGCAGAATACAACAGTTAAAAAATTAGGTTCTCATTGAGTCAGAAATCATTGCATTACCAAGTTTAATACAACTGGGATAGACAGAGAAGCCTGGCACAGGCTCCAGGGAGAGACACCTTGGTGTCCCACGGCAAATGGACTCCTCAGCTATTCACAGAAGGCATCTGCTATGTCCTTACCGTTTGGGGGCTAAGTGGCAATGTCTGTTCAGGACGAGAAAAACAATTAGAGAATTTCCAAAGCCATGGCTTAGCATCATTATCTTGTCGAAGCCATCCAAGTGTTCTACTGCAGGGGTTCTCAGTTCCGTTTCCTTCCATCATACAGCCATACAAAGTGGTTCAACATTCTTTCATCTTCCTTTTCTTTCATTCTTCCACCCTGTTAAGAAGGAGTGAGATTTTCATGTTATTTCTTTGCATAATATTGCAATTTTGTAACACATTAAAATTTGAAACTACAACTGTATGTATAGAACAGTGCCTTCCTACAATTCAAATCTTAAGAGAGCAAAAGAAAATGGATATCAGAGCATATTACAGGTTACTAAAATATTATAAACTTGGCTGATTCTGCTTATGCTTAAAATCTAACATCAATCTGATTTTTTAAGAAAAGCTATAACCAGGGCTGGGGATTTAGCTCAGTGGCACAGCACCTGCCTGGCAAGCACAAGGTCCTGAGTTCGATTCCCTGTACTGGAAAAACCAAAAAAAAAAAAAAAGGCTATAACCTGCCATTCCTTGTATTCCATAACTCTTCAAAAAAGAATGAATTCTGGATGAATTCTATTTCTTTTTATACACAGCCACATCTGAAAGAAATAGCTGATTTGGGGCACCTGTATATCCCTGAGTGACACTTCTTGTCATTTGGCTACAGTCAACTTTCTCTGGCCTTAAGCAGGCTTTTCCTATTGTTTTTTCCTTAATTCTTCTCAGCTATCTCTCTCTAAAGATTATGATTAGGAGACTCAAAGACTTAACAGAAGAGCACATCTAATCTTAGTAAAAGAACCGTCACCATATCAACCTCTCCCACTGTTTGATATGAACATGGAAAGTCCACAGTAAATAACCTCTGTGGACTTTGAATTCTACCCTGCCAGCGAGCAAACCAAACCATATCTTGGTTTACTTATAATGAAAGTACAATCTAATATACCACCAAAAATCCAGCAATTAGAAAAATCACAAATCACAAATGTGCTGTACCTATTCCAATTTAACAACACATCTTACAAGTCTCAACAGAGTACAATAAAAGCAGATAAAGTCAACCCACATCCACTGGGATGAAAACAGCTGGCCAGTGCCAAGGACAACTAAACCTCATTTCAAGCCCACACCACAATATCCCAACACTATCTCACTTTTACCCTCAGTGGCCATTTTCAAGCAATTCATTTCATTATCAAAAATTTCATCTGAACATACAGAAAATAACTTTTAGTTTCTCTTCTGTTGGATATGATGCTCTTCTCAAGAGATTTTAACATCTAAATGGCAGGGGGTAGGGGTGATTATTACCTGTCTAAGGTATAGGAGAACGGATCATGTAAGGCAAAAGTAAACTACGGCTCACTAGCCAAAGCCAGATCATTGCCTATATTTAACTGAATCTATGAACTGAGGACATATTTTAATTTTTTAATTCCTAAAAAAATTTTTTTAAATAAATGAAATTCAAATGTTAGTGTCTGTAAAGTTTTATGGGGACACAGCCACCCTCATTCATTTAAATACTGTCTCTGGCTACTTTTGCACAATTGAAAAAGTGAGTCTTTACAACAGAGACTGGCCACAATATTTACTATGTGGTAAAGCCTAAAATATTTACTATGTGGTACCAATATTTACTAAGTGCATCATTTACTCAGACACACAGTTAGGACAGGTTAATTCTGAAACAGATGGAGGCAACTGCCACCAATAATATTCAGTTATGATACTTGTTTTTACAGACCAGCACACCTCTCTCTAAATTATAAGAATTTATGATGTTCACAATAGTATACACAACCTCCACATACTTTCCCAAAATTGTCTAAAGCCAAATCTTGAAAGCGAACTAACATTTACAACATAATAGTTAACACAGTATTTTCATTTACCCTTATTTATTTCCTCATCCAGCAAATATTTACTTACTACCTTAGCAGACCTATCCTTAGAATAGGAATATCAAGCCTATAATCCCAACATCTTGGGAGGCTGAGGCACTCAAGCTTAAGCCCAGCCTGAGCAACTTAGAAATTTAGTTAGTACTTGTCTTAAATAATACAACAACAACATGTCTGGTACGTCTAAGGTCACCAGCCTCAATCTTTTTCTCTCTGTGATATAGAAAGAGGAAAAGTCAGAAGGTGCAAAGTGAAAGTAAAGTTTATTCCCAGAAAGAAGCAGTACAAAACTACTCCAAAGACTGAGGGCCCAGGATTGGGTAACTGCTGAAACTGGGGCAAGCAGTCCTGTTTTATGGGGTACGGGTCCAGGGACCTCTCTCTCCGAGGGTGACTGCCCCTCACTGGTTGGTCAGCTTGTTGCTAGGGATTTGGGTTTTGTAGACTAATAAGGAGACAGGTAGACAGGGCAACCTGTACAAGGAGGAAATAGGGTAAACCACGTTGCCTCACAGATGCAGAAGCAAAACCACAGACTGCCTGCTTTAGGGGGTGAAACCACAAAACTGCCTGCTGTTCAATCTCAAACTGTCACAGAGGCTGCTTTTCTCCTACTTAGGCGTCTCATCTTTCCTCACAACAACAACAACAACAACAATAGGGCTGGAGGCCAGGCGTGGTGGCTCAGGCCTGTAATCCCAGCACTCGGGAGGCTGAGGCAGGAGGATCATCGTGAGTTCGAGGCCAGCCTGGGCCACAAAGTGAGCTCAAGGTCAGCCTGAACTGCATAGAGACCTTGTCTCAAAAAAAAAACAAACAACAAAAAAAAAAACAATAGGGCTGGGGGTGTATTTTGGTGCAAAGGCCCTGAAATATACAAACACGGTACTAATATACAAACTGTGGTACAGTTCAATCCCTAGTACCACAAAAACAAAGTAAAGGCAACAGAATTCACTTACATAATTTTTTTCTCAATTCTGTAAGGTGGGAAGAAATTAGTTACTGGTTAGAGAAGAGGAAAAAGAAACTTAAGTTTGGTAGCTAGTCCAAGATCTCACAATTACTGCAGGAAGCTAGCAAGACTAGGCGTGTTCACCTCTTTCTGCTAAAGTGTCTCCAGCACTGCTCAACATAAGCAAATAAACAAAAAGATGAACTTGTTAGCTGCCTGGACTCTGAAATTTTCCCAAGTATTCCTGAGAATGTTACTAAGCGCCTCAGATAGCCAAAGCAAGTTTTGTTCGAGTGGGAGTCTCCCTTCTGCCAGTAGCTCTCTGAGTCTGAGCCATTCAGACAGTGGCTGAGAACGAAGTCTATGACATCACACTCCCTGCATTTTATTCCCCATTGCTACTCCTTCCTATTTGTGCAACTTTGGACAATTCAACAACCTCTCTGAACCTCAGATCCTCTCACATGGGTCTGCTAGTAACAGAAAGTCCACTGGACGATGGTTTGATTACCCGTGATCACCCAATTAGCAAAGGGGCTAAGGTGAGCAAAAGATCTTCTCTTAGCATTCAATGTAGTCCTGAACTCCCACTCCACTTCCCCCCATTACCAATTTCCCTCCTTCTCATAGGTCTTCCATCTAAAATTATCTTCTTTATTTACCTGCTACTTTATTCTTTCTCTATTAAAACATAAATTCCAGGACAGTCGAAACTGTTTTCTTAATCACTACTGTATCTCCTTCACCTGGCACAGTGCCTGGCATACTTCTGAAGGAATAAAACACCCAATAAATGTCAAAGCAGACTGTTTAGTCCGCAATTTCAGTGTATACAAAACAGACAAAATCTCGCTCAGATATACTAGAAGTCCAAACGATACAAAGGCAACTGGAAAACTCTTAGTAGTATTGGAAAGGTGCTTGGCAAACTCTATAGGGTGTACCAAGAGGTTACAATCAGTAGGGGGAGTGTCTGAAGCCCCAAAGCTACACCCTAGGGACTGCTGAAGGGCCCAGCAGAACGCAAAATGCTCAGAAAGGTTGCAAAAACGTCCGCCCCGAGCGTTTTCTCTTCACTTTCTAACTTTGCACCCCCTTCTGGGAAGGCTGATACACCTGCAGGGCCCAGCAGGGACCAGGAAGACAGGTGCGGGCGGGGAGCCAAATACCCAAAAAGGGGAACAGCGGCGCACCATAACAGTAGTGAGCAGACTTGCAAAGGTGACAAGCTGACTTCTGGGGCCGAGTCTGGCGGGTCCCGGTCCTTGCCCTTGCCCAGGAAGAGGTGGGGGAAGGGGGGGCACTGTCCCCCCTCCCAGCCCGGGTGGCCCCAGAGCAGTGGGGTCCGTCAAGGTCTAGACCCAGCGCTAGGAGCAAACTCACCTCAGCTGCCCACTCCACCTCGCTTACATTCCGGCCCCACCGCCTTCCCCCCGCCCCCCCAGGCCCTTTGTTTTGATTCCCGACTCCGCAGCTCCCGCCGCCGCCGCCAAGCGCACCCTCCACTTCCGCTTCCGCACCGCACCGCCCCTGTCGCAAAACCGACGCCCTTCTCTTCCGCTCGCCCCGCCCCTTCCTCCGCCCCCCGCCCGCCGCGGCGTCCTCGGCGCGCGCTGCATGCTGGGCGCCGGGGGGGGCGGGGCCTCGCGGCCCTGCGGCCTCGTCAGGCTCAGTCCCCTCCCGATAAAGCCCTAAGTGGGGGCTTCCCGGGGGATGGCCTGGCTTTTTTGGTTAAAACTCCGAGTGTTAAGGAGACCTTTTCTCTGGCTTAACTCTGTGAAGTCAAAAGGAACCCCAAAGCAAAGAGTTAGCGAGCTTGTGAGGTGAAATCGAGCAAAAACCTGCCAAACGGGATTTAATACAGTTCAGCTCCTTTAGTCTCCCACGGAAAAGCGATTTTGGTGAAACAACTCGATCGCGTCGGCTGCCCCCCGCCGTCACGTGATAGTCCTGCTTTATTTTTTAAAATTAAGTGGCGCATATTCCCCGGCGTCCGTCATCTAGTGCAGCCTAGCGGCGAGCGGAGGAACGCGGCTGCCGCCGGGCTCCCGCCCCGCACCTGCCTCGCGAGCGAAGGGCGCGGCGCGGGCGGCTCGGGGACGGCGTCGCTGTTACAGCCCTGCGCGGGCGTCCTCACCAATGAGTACAACTTTCCAGGGACAGATTGGGCGAGGAAAAAGGAAAACTCTTGAGTTAAGTTTTGTAAACAGGTAACTCCCTGTTGCAGGTGGAGAAACGTGAGATAAGTGTGCTTTTTTTAAAAAAAGGCGTCTCGTAATCTTCATTTTTACCGGACGTCTAATTTTTTTTTAACTTAGGCAAAATGGTAATTTCTGCAACTGCCAGCTGCTCACTATCTCCTGTTAGGAGAAAAACAAAGCACATATTATCTCAATCTAGATACAGTTTAGGCAAGGGTGTGCTAGCCGAATATTGCTTAAAAAGTTTACCTTTCAAATTTTCAACGAACAAATTCATTTTGCTAGAAAACTGGTAAGTAGAAAAAGCCAGATGAGATCGTTTTTCTTCCTGAGTTTCCAATTTGAGGGGATTTCTTTAGGCAATCTGCACTAAGTGTGGATTAATAGTTCCCTGTAAACACCTCTGCAGCCCCGTCCTGAGGAGGGCAAGCTCGCACACGCAGTGAAGAACACGTTGTGCCTCTGTTTAACTTTGCAGAAGGCGCGGGGCAGGCATGTATCATCTGCCTGCTTAGGTGTTTGTTACTGCTGAGTAAATTCTGCACTGTGTCTTCGTGGGGGTAGTGTCTTCCGACTGGGAATTGTAACGTGAAAAACCACTCTGTTTCAAAGTTTTCGGTCGTTTCAAAGTACCAAGCAAATATGCTACTCTTCACAGGTGGTCTTTCAATTTTTGTTTTCTTTTTAAATTTCAGTTGAATGCCTCAGAATACAGACAGTATTAACTAAAATATAAAAAAGAAAACAAAGTATAGATTTGTAATTGCTTTTTAAAAAAGTTTTTAGCTACAAAATAGAAGAAGCAGACACATTGTCTGATTTTGCTTGTCATTCTTTAAAGTCCAGTAAGTGAAAAGCCAATGAGAAATCTAAATTCCCTTCCTCCCTCCCTGTCTCTTTCTTTCTTTCGTCTGTCTGAGACAGGGTTTCATTATGCAGTTCAGGGTGGCCTTGAATTCACTTTGTAGTGCAGTGTGGCCTCAAGCTCCAGGGATCCTCCTGTCTCAGCCTTCCCAAGTGCTGGGGTTACAGGGGTAAGCCACCAGGCACCGCCTTTAAATACTTTAAATAGAAACCATTTTATTATGCCTGCAATCCCAGCACTTGGGAGACCAACGGAGGAGGATCCTTGTGAGTTTGAGACCAGCCTGGGCTACAAAGTGAGCTCAAGGCCAGCCTGAACGGCATAGCGAGACCTTGTGTCAAAAAGACAAAAAAAAAAGGAAGGATGAAACTGTTTTATTGTTTCTGTTGCAAACTAAGCAGAGTACACTGGCCCTTTCAAGGAGACAATAATGAATCCAAATACATTATGGTATTTGTTTTTTTAAAAAGCTATGCAATTTCTAAGCTATATCAATTATGGATAGCCTGTTAATTTTACTCCTACTTAGTGAAAGTAAGTTTCAGTTTTTTCCTTGTCCAAATAATAATCCTCACATTTCTGAAATAAGGATGATTTGTTTTTGTGCTATTTGTGTGGCTACTTTGCATTTGATTATGCTCAGTTATCCAGTCTTGTTACTAAATGAATTTCTCCCAAGCAGCTTGTCTGCTTTACTTCCCTTTGGTGTTCTGCATTGGACAATGATGATGACAGGACTTGTGGAAGAGAAACTGAGCTCTCTGCTCAGTCATATCTCAAAGCTACAAGGAAAGAATCTGAAACAGCCCATGTCCCCACGTTTAGCAGTGAAGGAGCTGAAATAAAACTGACATAGTAATTCAATCTGTATAAAAATCATAAAATGAAGCCAGGCATGTTGGCCCATGTCTTAGGAGCCTAAGGGAGGACTATATAGTGGACGGTATAGTGAGACCATATTTAAAAATCAATAGGTAAAATGACGGAAAGTTTACCGTCATTTTTTTTCATTTTTAAGATTTTACCCAGTGACAAATTGATTTCCTCAAACGTTTGCACCTCAATAATGACAATCATTTCAATGCCCTTCTCCTTTTCTTTATTGAAAATTTATGAAATTGAGAAACAAGTTATTTAAATGACTTGATGGATGTCATTTAGTCAAGACCAATACCTCTCTCATCAGGGAGTGGTGGCACACACCTGTAATCCCAGCACTCAGAGGCTGAGGCAGGAGGGTCACTGCAAGTTTGAAGCCAGCCTGAATTGCATAGTGAGACCCTGTCTCAAAAAACAAAAACAAAAATCAATACCTTACCAATTTGTGCTTCCGCTCATCTATAAACTGAATCACTGGGGTGATTACTCCTTCCACTGAAACCTTAGGGGTGGTGACAGTAAATAAAATTCTAAACCTAAAAGTATTAGACTAAGTGTCAAGCAGATGCAAATGACATATTAGTGTTTGGGACTAGACTGGAAATATCCTGAAAAACATTTTGGTACTTTCCTTAAGCCCCTGTGGTAGAGGTGGTGGGTTCCCTCTTGTGTCTCTGGGCTTTTTCAAGGAACTAGCAATGAATTAAAGCAGAATTAGAGAAAGCTCATTTTAACCATAGCAGGGAAGGGAGGGGGAGTCTTTCCTTGCCTGTAATATATGAGGAAGAACAAGGGTGTAAGTGTCAAAGTTTGAAGCCTGACTTCTTAGCTATTAATTGTAAGCCTCATGCAGTTCATTTAATGTCACACACCTTTGTTTTCTCATCCTTAAAATGAGTATAACAGAAGTGTTTTACTAGCTGTGCATGGTGGTACATCCCTTAATCCTAGCATTTAGAGACTGAGACAGGAGGATCACAAGTTTGAGTCCCACCTGGGAAATTTAGCAAGACCTTGTCTCAGAATAAAAAAAAGGGCTGGGGATGCAGCTCAGTGGTAGAGTGGTAGAGTGGCTCTGGGGTCAATCCTCAGCCCCCTCCCCCAAAGAGTGTTTACCTGTGGTTCTCTCTGTCTGGTGCTCTGCTCCACTGTCATCTCCTTAGAGTGACCTTCCCTGACCATTCCATGCACAGTGTACCCTCCCCAGCTCTTTTCTATCATGAATTTGCTTCATGCATAACACTTAGTAACATCTGGAATTTATCTTACCTGCTTACTAGTTTAGTGTCTTTCTCTCTGCACACTATAAGCCCTTTGAGAACAGGTTCCTTGTAAGAGTTCTCAATACTTTGTTAGTAAACAATTAGGGTTGCTGTAAGAATTAAATGGGAAAAAACCATATCAACAAGTAAGCATTGTGCCTGAGTCACATAACCATTTAAAAAATTACTGGGCATGGTGGTTCATGCCTGTAACCCCAGCACTCAGGAGGCTGAGGTAGGAAGATCACCACAAGTTCCAGGCCAGCCTGAATTACATAGTGAGTTTAAGTCCAGAATGAACTACATAGAGAGACCATGTCTAAAACCAAACCAACAAATCCACAATTATTCAACAAATACACATACAGATATATAATTTCTCGCCCTAAACGTTTGCAAGTATTTACTCGTTTAGACCTCTGCACAATCTTATTTATACATAAATGAGTCTCAGTGCAGTTAAGTAACTTGCCCACGTTCACACAACTAGAAATGCATAGAGCTAGGACTCAAAGCCTAGTTTGTTTCTGTACTGGCCATTGAACCCAGCGCCTTTGCAGTGAGCTACATTACCAGCCCTTTTTCATTTTTTATTTTGAGACAGTCTCTCACAGTCTGTAAATTGACCAAGCTGGCCCCAAACTTTCCATCCTCTTGCCTCAGCCTCCCAGAGCGCTGTGATTAGAAGTGCGCGCCACTTCTTCCAGCTAAAGGAGAATTCACACGAAGTTCTGCGGCCTCTGAAGGACAAGGCTGTCCAAGATTCCCTCTAGGGTGTGAAGGTGTGGGAAGAGCCTGGGGCCATGTTAGCCTCAGTGGATTTGGATCTTGGCCCTGCCGACTGATTCGGGGAAGACTCGAGGCTGGGATGCAGCATTTGGTGTGAGAGAGTGGCTACCACTCTCCTCAAGTGGTGGCTGCCAACTCAAGCCCAACCCCGGCGTCAAGGAGGCAGCAGCCTGCGGCACCCTAGGGCCGCCCGGCGCCTCCCCCGGCTCCTCCCGCCCTAGGCCGCCGCCGCGTGGCCAGGCCGCGCCCGGGCTGCGAGAAAAAGTTTCCAAACCGCGCTGCTCGGCGCTGATTGGCTGATCCGGACGCGGACCCGTGGC